CTCCCCTTGCAGTTCCAGTAAGCGAATGTCTGTACAAAATCTCACTTTTCATCACTGCGTTGCTTTGGGTTTTGCCCTCAAGGCACCAGCTGCAGACCGAGAGACTGGGCTGGTCAGTGTGTCTTCCTGACTTTCATGTGTTCTGGGTCTCCAAAGAAATTCCGCATCTCTGCTCCTAGCTAGGTTTGTAAAAATCTTTTAAAGCCACCAGAAAGGGTGGGTGGGCTCTGCTCCTTCTGGGAATAGCCCTGCTTGCCCGGCAGGGCCCAGCGCTTGGTGTGCAGACCTGGGGGAGGGTACAGTGGTAACTTCCGATGGCCCTAACCCACATTCGTGCCCCGTTGTGCCGGGGGCTGCACAGTCAGTCTCTGCCCTGAGGGGCTCATGGTATAAATAGACAAGGGGGAGGAGGGGAAGTGACTTGTCCAAGGTCACCTGCAAACTCGGTGGCAGAGCCAGGTCTAGAATCCAGGGCCCCTGAGCCCCAGTCACGTGCCCTGCGCAGTGGCCGGCTGCGTGTCTATTCCAGGGAAATCCCTGCCCGTGTGTTTACATTTAGTGCCAGCTGCTGGAGCGAGGCTCGTTCTGAGTGCAGGCCTGGACCCCGGGGCCCCTTGTTCTCACCCAGGTCCTGAGTCTAGTGCCTGAGAGACTGGGCTCAGTCTCGGTAATGTGGAAATCTCCCTCCTGTCTAGGTTCTTATCCCACCCGCATCTGAGCGGCGCCCCCCCCTTCTCCCTCCAGCACCCGGCGCTCACCCCGGGGCTCCGAGTTCTCAGGCCAGCAAGCGGCTGCTGCCCGCAGCTTTCTCTGCTCGAGTGGGAACAGCAGCTGGGGAGGGGTGTTTTGGAGACAGGGGGCTCACCTGACCTGGGAGACAGGGGCACATACTTAAAAAGCGAGCCCTGTCGGCTTAACCTCAAAACCCAGCCCACGTGGGACGCCGGAGAGCGTGCTGGGGTGTGTGTTGGAGGAACGTGATCCCCCCTCGGCACCCGGGGGGCAGGGATTGAGGCCTCTTGCCCCTGCCTGCTGCTCTGCCTCTGACACCAGCTGCCTCGTTCCCGGAGCATCCTGAGCTGCCTCTTCTTCTCTCCCGTTTCACGGCCTAGCTGGCTCGCCCACGGTCCAGCCCACGCAGCGTGCTTGGGATTACAGCCTGCCCTGGCTGACAAAGGCTTTCTCCAAAGGTGGGTGCCCACCCACGCCAGCAGGGGGTGGCATGGGGAGCAGAAGGCAGGGTGGCCCCCCCGCCTCCATGCTGGCACCATGACTGAGCCGAGCTGGCTTGGCTCAGTCCCGCGGCACAGGGGAGAAGCTGCTGCCTTGAGCATCAAGGACGAACTGTGACGGGTCTTCTCTGTTACTGCTAAAGATGTCGGCCCTGGAAGCCAGGAGGGGCCGCTGGGTGCGTGTCTGTTCTGAGCTCCAGCCAGAAAACCACTCAGCAGTTCCCGCTCCGCGTGCAGCCCATCTCCAGTGTGAGCTCTGATGGGGGCCGTTCCCAGGCCCGGGGTTTTGTCCTGCCTTGGTCGGACTCCCACGTTACAGAGCCCTTGGCTTCTAGCCACATGCCAGGCTGCCACATGTTGCAAACAGAGCAAGGCCCTGATCCTGCAAACGGATGCAGGCTGAGTCACCCCGCCGGCCTATGGGTCCGCAGCAATCAGCTTGCTGGGGTCGGGGTTTATGACCCGGTCCCTGGCCTGTAGGGCTCAAAGGGAACGCTGTGGAGAGAGGGCTAAGTGGGGGCAGGTTTGAAGGAGAAGAGGAAGGGGGCTCGCAGGTTAACAGCAGTGAGGGTCCCTAATCTGCCACCTTTACAATTCCAGGGATAGCCACAGTGAAGGCTGCAGTTTGGCCTGGAGACAGCTCTTTGCTAAAGCAGGAATTGCCGGGCAGCTCCCAGCCAGACCCATCTAGCTCGGTGTCCTACCTCCCCCAGATCAGCACCCGCTGCTCCAAAGGAGGTGCAAAAGACCCTGCAGTGGGAAGCCCTGGGCTGGGCTGACCTGCCCCTGGGGCAGTTCTTCCTACCCTCCTCCCCCTTCCCCGGAGTGAAGGGGATAGACACTTGGTGTGATGCAGCAGGGAGGTGGTTGGATTTACCCTGGGAATGTTAAAGGGGAGTTTCATTGGGGATGGGAGGCTTCCCTTGAGGGAAGATACCTGAGCCAGGAGGGGGGTTGGGGCCAGGTGACCCCTTCTGCCCTGGTGTGACGAAGTGGGACTGTTCTTAATGTTGCCTCTGAATAGTGTGGGGGTGCCTCAGTTTCCCCTAGGCAGTTCTTAAGTATCTAGGGGGTGGAGTAAGGGTGTATGATCATTGCAGAGCCCTAGAGGGCATGTGTGTGCAGGAGTCTGGACACAGAGAATGGCCAACACCCTGTTTCCTGGCAACGGATGGCCTGGGCCCTTCCCCCCCTGCAAGGTGAGAGCTGAAGGGTTGGAGAACAAAGGAATCAGGTGACCACCTGGCCCGGGAAAGGAACAAAGCCCAGAGGAGGAGGGGCTGGAGGGGGTTTTTCAGTTTGGGGCTGGCTGGGACATGGAGTGAAGGGCAGACGTGGTTGTCTGGCTCACTGCCCCCCAAAATGGACCCAGCTGAGGGGTCCCGTTCTCTGCACCTGCAAGCTCTGTGTTAGACCATGTTCCTGTCGTCTAATAAACCTTCTGTTTTACTGGCTGGCTGAGAGTCACGTCTGACTGCGAAGTTGGGGTGCAGGACCCTCTGGCTTCCCCAGGACCCCGCCTGGGCGGACTCGCAGTGGGAAGCGCACGGCGGGGCAGAGGAGGCTGAATGCTCCGAGGTCAGACCCAGGAAGGTGGAAGCTGTGTGAGATGTGTGTCCTGCAGACAGGCTGCTCACAGAAAGGCGACTGCCCCAGAGTCCTGACTGGCTTCATGGGGAGCAGTTCCCGAGCATCGCCCAGGGACTCCGTGACACCTGGGAACTGGACAAAGGCTGGGGAAGGAGCAAGTGAGAGGCTCGGGGAGACAGCTGGAGGGGTTTCCAGTTTTGGGAGTTGGCTGAGGAAGAGGAGGGAGCTCCCCAGGTCGGGGTCTAATCTCCCTGCCCCCCAGAACAGCTGGACGGAGGGGTCCTGTTTTTATCTACAAGCTCTGGTTTGGACTGTGTTCCTGTCATCTCTAATAAACCTTCTGTTCTACTGGCTGGCTGAGAGTCACGGTAACTAGCAGGAAGTGGGGGTGCAGGGCCCTGACTCACCCTCACCCTGTGACCCTTGGGCAGTTCAATCCTGTCTGATGTCCCAGTGGATGTTCTCATCCAGATCCACGTCTCATCCTGGGTTGTTTTTTGTATCCTGCTACACCCTTGCTCTCTTGTGGCAGAGAGTTCCACAGGCCAGTTGTGGGCAGATTATTCCATAACACCCCGTAGCCGGTTTCTTGTGGCTTCCTCTGAAGCAGCTGGTGCAAGAGACCGGCTACTCAACGAGGTGGACCCCTGCTCTCATCCCGGCGGGCAGCTCCTGCGTCAGAGAGACACGACCGCCTCCCTACTACCTCGGGTGGAGCGCTGAGGCAGTGAGGACCCAGCCCCGGGGCTCAGGTGGGGCAACCAATGGTGTGATTCTTGGGCTGTTGCTCACGGAAGTGAAGAAATACCGGCTCGGCCCCTGGCTCTGTGGGCCGCGTCCTTAGAGCTCTGGGGGGCTCCCCGAGGACCAGAGCCTGGCACCAAGCCCAGTTCGGGCAGGAGGCTCCTTTCTCCCCGGGATCACCTGGGTAACTTGTTGCCAGGAAACCACCTTGGGCTTGATTCTGAGCTTCTCGAGGGGAAGCCTCCGGTAGTGTCGGGCTGGCCCCCCAGGTGGGTTAGAGCAGCCCTGGATCTGCACTTCCAGTTCCCGCCCTGGGCCCAGGTAGCGCCCCTGCCCTCCTGCCAGGCCCCTACACCTGCTCCCTGTGCCATGGGGCTTCCACCCCCCCTTCACCGCCAGGGCCCAAGGGTACCAGAGAACCAGGCCCTGGCCCCTCGCTGTTCGGCCCTGGGCCTGGGAACTCCTAGCTCAAAGCCCCAGGAGGCTGGATTTGATTTGCCCCTAACTTCCCCCTGCAGCCTTGGTGGAGCCAGACACCGCGTGTCGCTCATCCTGGGCGAACGCCTCAGCCCAGCCCAGCCCAGCCCAGCCGGGGCTAGTGCCCCAGGGTGGGGGGCCCACGGTCTGCTGGTAGCACAGGACCGCCCGGCGGTGTGTGCTTGGCGCTGCACGGCGACAGGGGAAGGCAGAGGTCCTGGGGTTTACATAATTCCCGGCCCTGCTGCTTTTGAAACCTGGCAGAGCCAAATGCGACCCCAGCACCCGCTCCCCGTGGTGGGGCTGGGACCCCCCCCCCTTTGCCATAAGCACTGGTGGGGTGTGGGAGAGGATGATGCGGGGGGGGCCAGCCTGGAGGAGCGAGGTGGGCTGCACCAGGGGGTGCTGGCCAAGGCCCGGCAGACCGATGCTCCCCAGTTTGCTGGGGGGTTGCCCTGTCTCTGCTCAAGGATGGGGAAGGAGCCTGGCCCCTCCTGCATCCTGCCGCTGGGGGGCAGGGCGCAAAGAGGGGGCCCCTGGGGTCACGCACCCCCCATGCCCGTCTGTGGCAAAGCCAGGGGAAGAACCCAGGAGTCCTGACTCCAGCCCCCCCAGCTGGGACTGGAACCCAGGAGCCCTTGGCCGGGGCGGCCCGATGCCTGTAACCGCGGAGCAGGGGGCGGCTCTGCCCCTCCGCTTGGCTTGGGGGCCGCCCGGCTGCGGGGTATCCCCGGCCCCGGCCCCGCCCCAGCCGGGCTCCCGGCGGCGCCGAGCGGAGCAACTTCGGCGGCGAGCCCCGCCCGGGAGCGTTTCCACGCGGCTCCGGAGCCAGGGCGGCGCGGCGGGACTGAGCTGCCCGGGGCAGCCGCGCTGGGAGCCGGGGAGGGGGCGCGGGGCTGGCCGGGGGCGGCGCCCCGGGCGGGCGCCGACGGGCGGGCTCGGAAGCGCGGCGGAGGCGGGACGCGCTGAGCTGTGCCCTGGCCGGGGGCTCGGGAAAAGCTCGCCGGGGCCGGGGCTTGCGAGCCCGGGATTCTCCGCTCGCCCCGGGGCTGGGCCGGTGCAGCGGGGCGCTGGGGCGGCCCCTTCCCGGGGCACTGGACGGTGCGGCCGGCGGCTCTGCTCCGGGGCGCTGGGGGAGCCCTCGGCTCGGGCCCCCCCGCTGGGCCGAGCGACTCGCCCCTCTCCCGCCAGCACAGCCCGGGGGGGTCGGTTATCCGCAGATTTAACCCGAACCCCCCCCGGGGGGAGGCGCGGCGGCTCCGCGGCTCGGACCCACTGCGGGATGGAGGGAGCCTTCCCCGCGTCCTGACATGCCCGCCGCCATGCGGGGGCTGCTGGCCCCCCAGAACACCTTCCTGGACACCATCGCCACCCGCTTCGATGGGACACGTGAGTCACCCCCTGGCGCCCATCGCCCGCGCATCTGGGCGTCCTGAGCGGGGGCTCCCCCTTCCAGCCCAGGCAGGGAACCGAGCGCCGGGAGGGGGAGACGGGTCCGCCCGCGAGGGGGTTTCAAGGCACTGGCCCTGGGGGGAGGAATCGGCGCCGCAGCCCCTGTGACCGTCTCCCTGGGACACGGGATGGGCTGGCTTGATCTGGGGGGTTGTTTTCAGTGGGACCTTCTGACTCCCAAATGCTTCTGAGGCTGAACTAGGGTGATGGCCCGGCAAGCCTGGGGCCCCGCTGCCGGGCTGGGCCTGTCGGTGGCTATGCCCAGGGGTGGGTGGGGGGGTGCGTGGAAGGCATTTTGCGCCAGATCCAAAGTCTGGCGAAATCCACCGGAGTCATCTGGTTATTGGAGTGTCTCCTCTTCACCCCCGAGCGACCTAAGTTACACTGGCCCACGCGGTAGCGGCCAGTGTGGACACCCGGCGCCTCTCGGGTGGGTTTGTCTCTGCAGGACCCGGACACAGGGGTTTTCCCCTGGCTGGGCTGTGGGGAGAGAACCCAGATCTCAGTGGCTGGCGCTAGGGGAACTTTCAGGCCAATTTCATTTGCTCGGAGGGATTGAAAACCCCCTTGGCCTGAGGCCAGGTCTGCTGGGCAGGGTCAGGCCTGAGGCGTAAAGGTGCGGGAGCCAGGCCCCTCAGGGCTGCCAAAGTGGGTTCGTGGGCCTGAGAGCTCCAGGCGCAACCGCTGGTCGGTCCCCCAGGGATTTGGAGAAGCCAAGTCCTGAAGGTGCAGGAGGGGAGGGGGAAACCCATAGGAGCGATTTAATTCCCCCCCTGGCGGAGCGGAGTGACAATGTCTTTAGGGGCTTTTAAACTGGAGGTGCAAAAAACCCACCCGGCGATAATCTATAGATACAACGGCCCCCTTGTGTAATACTTAGTAACATCACAGCAGCAGGGCTGGTCGGTAACTTGAGCATTATCCCAGCCAACCCAGGCAGATCTCTCTCCTATAGACACACACAGCGACACACACACACACACAGAGTGACACACACACAGCGACACACACACACACACACAGTGACAGACACACAGAGTGACACACACACAGTGACACACACAGCGACACAGGGACACACACATAGACACACAGCGACACACACAGACACACAGAGTGACACAGACACACAGCGACACACACAGACACACAGCGACACACACACACAGAGCGACACACACACAGCGACACACACACAGACACACACACAGCGACACACACACACACACACAGTGACAGACACACAGAGTGACACACACACAGTGACACACACAGCGACACAGGGACACACACAGAGCGACACACACATAGACACACAGCGACACACACAGACACACAGAGTGACACAGACACACAGCGACACACACAGACACACAGCGACACACACACACAGAGCGACACACACAGAGCGACACACACACACAGAGCGACACACACAGACAGTGACACACACACACAGCGACACACACACACAGAGCGACACACACAGACACACACAGAGTGACACACAGCCACACACACACACAGCGACACACACACACAGAGAGAGACACACACAGAGTGACACACACACCACAGACACAGAGAGACACACACACACAGAGCGACACACACAGACACACACACAGCGACACACACACACAGAGCGACACACACAGACACACACAGAGTGACACACAGAGCGACACACACACAGACACACACAGACACACAGAGTGACACACACACAGCGACACACACAGAGCGACACACAGACACACACAGACACACAGAGCGACACACACACACACACACACACAGCGACACACACACACAGAGCGAGCTCCTGTTACACTGGGTGCAATTCAAGGTGAAGGCAGCAACTTCCAACGTGAGTTACAAACTCCTGTGAACTGGTTTGGCCCCTGCCCGCTGTGGCCCTTCAAGGAAAAATCCCCAGATGTGGAGTTTCCACCCGAAGCAGCTGCTATTTTCTCTTCTTTTTTGGAAACGTGAGACCCGGGTTTGCAAACCAGCGGCTCTTGGCCAGGAGAAGTCACCTCCGTCCCGCCCCGGAGCCGAAAGGCCAGCGTCGCTGGTGGCCGGCCAGAGGCAGCCGGTGCCCCTGACCCCCCTCGTTTGTGAGCTCAGCTGGCTAGCGGAACTGCGCAAGCAGCGTTTGCTCCTCTCCTCCGGGAAGAAAGGAGCGATCCCCTCTCGTAACGCCAGAGAGAAAGTAGAAACCAGGTCTGCGTGGCCCACAAGGGTCCTGGGGGATTCTCCAGCCCGGAGGGTGTTGGATCAAGACGGCTGGTTTTCTAGATCTGCTCTGGGAATTACTTTGGGGCAGGAGGACAGACCGGACCACAATGGTTCCTTCTGGCCTTGAAATCTAACCCAAGGAGCCGTCGTAACAGAATATGCACACACAGTGCTGTGCAATTACACACCAGCCACACCCACAGCGCTGTGTGTGTGTGTAGAGTTCCCACGCACCGCGGCCGCTCCGCTCTTGGGTGTGTAGAGACCCAGCCTGTTGCTGGGGGTGGGGGGTACGATATGTGATATTCACACTCATGAATCATCCTACTGCTCTGCTGCTGTGCACACGTGCGACTATGGGCCATCTCATACCTCCCAGAGGGCTGCTGCAAAGCTGTGTGTGTCTGGTGTCATGGCCACACGAGTGAGTGTGTCTGCATACCACACACAATGCAGCACCACTCTTGTAATGACCTGCAATCGGCAGATATACACCTAGCCCGCGTAGCTTCTCTATGTCCGTGTCAAGTGTGCACAGAGGTGTAAATAGTTACATGTATGCACACACATGTATGTACAGAGTATTCCTGCTCCAGGCGTACTGGGGTGCCTGAATCGTGCATGCAGAGCATGTGTGTACACACACACACAGTGTCGATGTGTATATGTACAAGATATAAACAACACACAAACCTGCATTGCACGGACATTGACGGTGCAAAGCCAAGCATTCTGAAGGTTGGAAATGCCAGAGGCCTGTGGCATTTCCACGCACACACACTCCCCCCACACCCCGAGCCCTGGCTCGCTCTCTGTGCTGGATGGCCTGTTTCCCGGGGCCAAGCAGGGCTACGCAGTAAGTGGGGCTGTCTATAAGGTCACTGGCTCTTGAGCTGCAGCAAAGGAGGGTCTCATGGGTACGGCAGCTGAATGCTGCCCTGGAGAGCTGGATTCTGTCCCGGCCTCTGCCACCGAGTCCCTGGGCGGTGCTGGGCATGTCACTGACAGCATAAACGGTGGTAGGTCCCCCCCCCCCGCAGACGTCTCAGGTTCTGGGTGTCCAGTATCAGCCAGCTGGAGCCCGAGTTGCAGGAGTGCTGAGTGTTGGCCGAGGAGCGTGGCCTGGCCTGGAGGAGTGAGCCCCAGGTTCGGAGTCAGGCGGTCCTGAGGGCTAATTCTGCCCCGATGCATGTGGTGGCCGGGGACAAGTCTCTGTTTGCCTGGCTCTCCGGGGGGGACCACGGTGCTGTCAGGGTCAGGGCTCTTGATGGGGCAGCGAGGGCACCTGAGGAAAGACCGGGAGGAAACAGGCGTCTCTGTTCCTCGCCACAATGGCAGGAGCTGCTGCCTGAGCAGGGTACAAATATTGAACCGTGACCTCATTCCCTGGGCCCTGCGTGTGGCCAGGGCTACCAGGCCCATGTGCTGGGCGGGGGGTTGGCAGGAGAGAGCCCAGCTTGGGTCTCCCTGTTCCCCAGGCCTTTCCCGTGCACCTTGCAGCTGCTTCAGCGGGACACGGGCCCAGCGCGGGGGAGTGTTCACGTCCCAGGAAGATTTTGCCCTGCTGATGACACAAGCTGGGGTGGGTGGATGATCGGGTTTGAGCGAACGTTTCAGGCATCGTTTTACAGCAGCAAGTGGGTCCTTTGGGGAAGTTTAACGCTGTCCTCACAGCAGTCAGCCCTTCCTCTTCTGCTATAGTCCTGCAATGGATCCTTGGCCGTGCCGATCTCTGCGGGGGATTGGCACCTCACCCGCCAGCCCTCTGGCCTGGCTTCCTGAATTCGAACCCAGCCCCGAAGCTCCCACCCCAGGTGTTCTGCAGAGCAGCGAATGAGTTCAGCACCTCGGCCAGCTCCCCGGGTTCCTTACAGCCCCGCAGGGCCAATCCGGGTTGTGGGAGCCCTGGACCGGGCTCAGGCGCTCCCCAAATCCCCAGTAGAAACAGAGCTTCTAGGGATGGTGTCCCTGGCCTCTGTTTGCCAGAGCTGGGAATGGGCGAGGGATGGATCACTTGATGAGTCCCTGCTCTGTTCATTCCCTCGGGTGCCCCTGGCACTGGCCGCCGTCGGACAACAGGACACTGGGCTGGATGGACCTTGGGTCTGACCCAGTCTGGCCGTTTTTATTTCTGAGCTTCTCTGTGGAGCTTGGAGCCCTCCGGACGTGAGTCTGGCTTGGAGTTCCTGGGGCCGGCAAACATCTGGCACCGGGACAGCTGGACTCGCGGTTCAGAATCGGAACTGGCTCCTGGGTTTGGTTCCCAGCTCTGCCACGGACGCGTCATCGCTCTGTACTTCAGTTTCCCCTTGTCACGGAGTCCCTGGGCAATGCTCGGGAACTGCTCCCCATGAAGCCAGGCAGGACTCTGGGGGAGTCTCCTCTCTGTGAGCAGCCTGTCTGCAGGACACACAGCTCACCCGGCTTCCACCTTCCTGGGTCTGACCTCGGAGCATTCAGCATCCTCCGCCCCTCCGTGTGCTTCCCACAGCGAGTCCGCTCAGGCGGGCTCCTGGGGAAGCCAGAGGGTCCTGTCCCCCAACTCCGCAGTCAGACGGAACTCTCAGCCAGCCAGTAAAACAGAAGGTTTATTAGACGACAGGAACATGGTCTAAAATGGAGCTTGTAGGTGCAGAGAACCGGACCAGGGCCCCCTGCTCACTGCAGGGCCGGCCTGAGGCTCCCTCCTCCTGCTTTGCCAGCCCAGAGTCTCCCCCTCCCTCTCCAGGGCGAATCTTGCAGAGGCATCCATTGGCTGCCCCTCGTGCCATGAGCGCGTCAGGCCTCAAAGTGAGGCCGGGTTCAGTTGAGTCGCTCTGGGGCTGGGAGACCTCTAAGCAAAACCCCAGGCCTTGCGGGGAGCGGGGGGGACTCACTACGGGGCGCTCGTCCCTCCATCAGTGCCCCAGTGTGGCGCTAGGGGGCGCTGTGCAGCGGGGAGCGGCTCAGTAGGGGGCGCTCTCCCCTGGCAGTCAGCTCTGAGCCCAGGGCCGCGCTAGGGGGCCCGTGCTGTGGGGGCGGAGAGGGGCTCAGTAGGGGACTGACCCCACCATCCCCCAGTGCTAGGGGGTGCCAACTTTCAGATGAACGGTGTCTCGCGGAGGGGCAGGCTCCCGCCCCCAGCTCTGGCAGTTCCCCGTGCCCACGGGGCTGGGTTTGGGAGCGAAAGTCTGTGGCGTGTTCCCCCCTCCCCATGCAAAGCTACTCCCCCAGGCTGGGGCATATGCGTCCCCTCCCCCCCCAGCACCCGCTCTCAGCTGCAGGACGCAGGACTGTGGGGAGACCAGCCCGGCCCCAGCCCCGAGCGAGCGCTCGCCCCGAGTTTGTTCTGCAGGCAGACTAGTTTCCCTGAGTAGGCGGAAGGATATGGTTATAGACAGCAGCACGTGGTGTCCCCGGGTATAAATAGCCCTGTGCTGGGGCCGGGCCCTGGGGAAGCAGGAGCTGGGGGGCGGGGCAGGCTGCATGACTGTCCCCCCGCCCTGCGCCCCCGCACACGCCGGCTCTCACGCACACGTGTGCTGCTCGCACGGGATCACATCCCACCCCAGGGCCAAGCCCCGTGGGGCCGAGCGGGTTCACCTGAGCCTGGCTGGGAGCAGCCCAAGCTGGGTCCTGGGGGAGGCCTGGCCTCTGCTCGGGGTGGGATGTAGGGGAGCCAGGTGGGAAAGGGGGGTGGGGGAAGGGGTGATTTTGTCTTAAACCCAGACGGCTGCGAGCTACAGGGAGCAACCCCGGCCCAGGCCCAGCCCCGGTCTGCTGATTTTGTCCCTGAGGTGAAGCTCTGAGCTGGGGGGTGCCTGGCTGGGGCTGGGAGCCAGGATGCTTGGGGTCTAGGCCCTGCTCTGGGGGGCCGCGTTCAGAGCCCTTGGAGCGGGAGACGTGGGGTCCGTTCCCAGCTCTAGCGCTGACCTGCAGGGGACTTTGGACAATTACCAGCTCCTCTCTGCCTCAGTTTCCCCATGCTCCAGACACTCTGCTTCTCCATGCCCCCTTCCCGGCTGGCTGGGGACGGAAGGCAATCGTTGCTCAGGGAGCTGGTGTGCTATAAATACCCGAGCCCCCTTCCCCCCCCGGCTTGCAGTGAGTAACATCAGCAGGCAAATTACAGAGCAAGGCCTGGCGCCCGCAGCACCCAGCCATGCTGCTCGCGGGCACACGCCGTGCTGAGCTCGGCTGTCAGCCTGGGGCAAGCAGGGGTGTAGTGAGGAGCCGGCCAGGCCCCAATTCCCTTGGAATTGTCAGGGGGTGCAGGTCGCTGAGCCCTGAGACGAGCCTGGGTTTCAATGTGGGGGGCCCCCGGGCTGGGGTCAGATCCCCGGAGGCGGGTTCCCCAGGCGAGGCCCAGGGGCCTGGGTGTAAACAGCGGAGACTGCGAACGTGGCTCCGGGGCTCGTGCAGGCCGGACCCGCGTGGGCTGATGCCAGACGCTCCGGGCTTTTCCCTGCACCCTTCTGTCACGGAGTTCCTGGGCGATGCTCGGGAACTGCTCCCCATGAAGTCAGTCAGGACTCTGGGGTAGTCGCCTTTCTGTGAGCAGCCTGTCTTCAGGACACACAGCTCACACAGCTTCCACCTTCCTGGGTCTGACCTCGGAGCATTCAGCATCCTCTGCCCCTCCGTGCGCTTCCCACAGCGAGTCCGCTCAGGCGGGGCTCCTGGGGAAGCCAGAGGGTCCTGCACCCCAACTTCGCAGTCAGACGTGACTCTCAGCCAGCCAGTAAAACAGAAGGTTTATTAGACGACAGGAACATGGTCTAAAACAGAGCTTGCAGGTGCAGAGAACGGGACCCCTCAGCTGGGTCCATTCTGGGGGGCAGTGAGCCAGACAACCACGTCTGCACTTCACTCCATGTCCCAGCCAGCCCCAAACTGAAAAACCCCCTCCAGCCCCTCCTCCTCTGGGCTTTGTTCCTTTCCCGGGCCAGGAGGTCACCTGATTCCTTTGTTCTCCAACCCTTCAGCTCTCACCTTGCAGGGGGGAAGGGCCAGGCCATCAGTTGCCAGGAAACAGGGTGTCGGCCATTCTCTGTGTCCAGACTCCTGCACACACATGCCCTCTAGGGCACTGCAATGATCATACACCCTTACCCCACCACCTAGATACTTAAGAACTGCCTAGGGGAAACTGAGGCACCCCCACACTATTCAGAGGAAACATTAAGAACAGTCCCACTTCGTCACACCTTCTCAGCCCCAAGCCCGGGGGCAGCTGTGGCGGAGGTGGGGCACGGCCGCAGTTTAGTGGCACGTGGCAACGCCACCCAGGGACTGCTCAGTGCTGAAATGCTCCCCACCCCTGGGACGTAACCATCTTGCCCAGGGTCTGTGGGTCAGACTGCGGGTGAGGGTGGTTTATGCCTCGTCTGAAAGCTCCCATTCGGGCACCTGCTCTCTCTGCAGCGCCTGGGCTCAGAGCCACGCTGGGGGGGTGGGGGGGGGTTGAAGGCCTAGCAAGGGAGAAGTCTCCTCGGGCCCTCTGAAGGCTGGAGCCCCAGGCTGGGGTATCCCCTCGGGGACTGGCCTCTGGCTTGGAGCTGGGGGAGGAGATGCAGCCGGCCGGGGAGTGTGGGTAGCTCTCCACCCTGGCGGGCTGGCCTGGCTCCCCGAGGGGATCCCATCGTCTCTGCGCTCCTGGGGAGCCCCGGCCACATGGACCCGCTGGAGCCTTGGCCATGACCCCAGGGACAGGGTGAGGTGCCCTGGCCAAGGCCCCTGTGGTGGCAGGAGATTGATCCGGGGAGGTGCCCCAGTGCCCAGCCACCGACAACCCCTCCGCCCTGGCTGTTCCCATCCCCCATGGGGCCAGAGCACGAGCTGGGCATTAAAATCCTCTTCCTGTGACCAGCCCGAGTCCCGGGCAGAGCCCGCGAGCCCAGCCTGGGCTGGAAAACAACTGCGGACACTGCAAAGACACAGCCCCCCAGCCCGAGCCCCGTGAGCCCCCGTCAGCTGGCCCGGGCCGGCACCTGGGTCCGGTGGGGCCGCGGCCCAGCTGGTGTCGCGGGCTGGGGCAGGAGCCAGGCCGAGCGCTCTCAGCTGTTGTGTTGTCTAAGCACCAGGCCCATCTGGGAGCCCCCAGGGGTGGACTTTGCGGCTCAGCCAGGCTGGGGTGCAGCAACGCTGCCTCTCAGGGGAGCCCCTCCTGCCGATGAGCCCAATTAGCCGGGGGAGCCGCCCCCGGGGGGCCTGTTACCTGGGGTGATTTACAGCCGCAGCCCAGGAACAGAGCCCGGGAAACAGGCAGCTTGTGGACCCTGGGGAGGGGCTGGGCTCCGGTGTGTGCTGGTTTGATCAGATGGGGGGGTGCCCCCTCCCCCCAAAATCCCCTTGAGTTTTGGGAACCCGTTTTACATTCCACAGCGGGGCAGGAACCCCCTCTCCCCCCAAACCGCCCCCAGCCAGGCCCTCATCTGCAGCAAGGTCCCCAGGGCCGGGGGCAGGGGGGGCTCCAGGTTTGAAAACTCCCCGGGGGGGGTAGGCTGGAAGCAGCAGTTCTCTCCCCCCAGCCCCCACCATGCTTGTGCCCCCCGCGCTGCTGTTCAAATGCAAATGTATGCAAATGAGGCCGGGCTGGGAGTGGGCTCCAGCTCTCAGCTGGTGCAAACGAGGCAGGTTCTGTCCAAATGGCAGAGGGATGACTAACCGCGCCGGGAGCCGCGGGGTAAAAATATCCCGAGCGGAGCCTGCGGGTTCAGACGCCCCCGGGCACCTGGCAAGAGGGGGGTGGGGCAGCGGATGGGCCCCTGGGCTGCTGTTTATTACAGAGCCCCCCTCCCCGGCAAGGTCACAGACCCCTCCCCTTGCCCCAGCCTTCCAGTCCCGCCTACCCCCCCCCCCCCAGGACCCACCGGCCTGGCGCTCCCCCCGCCCTGCTCCGTGCCCACCCCCAGTCTTGCCCCAGTGCTGGCCGCGCTGCCAGGCCCGGGTGCCCATCCCCACGCTGGTGTCTTGCAGACAGTAACTTTGTGCTGGGCAATGCCCAGGTGTGCAGTGCCTTCCCGGTGGTGTACTGCTCCGACGGCTTCTGCGACCTGACGGGCTTCTCGCGGGCCGAGGTCATGCAGCATTGCTGTGCCTGCAGCTTCCTCTACGGGCCCGACACCAGCGAGCTCGTCCGCCAGCAGATCCGCAAGGCCCTGGACGAGCGCCAGGAGTTCAAGGCCGAGCTGATCCTGTACAGGAAGAGCGGTGAGTGAGCGGGACGGGACAGGCCCTACAGGACAGGGACCACCACCACCAGCAGACTCTTTGCAGCTGCAGCTGGGAGCCAGGACTCCTGGGTTCTCTCCCCAGCTCTGCCCTGCTGCGCACGCTCAGAGGCAAGTCCCTCTCCTGCTCTGTGCCTCAGTTTCCCCTTCAGTTCTGGCGGGAGGGGGGTTGGGAGGGCTAATCCCCTTGGCTCCCTGTGGGGGGAGAGGGGTGTGCACAGTGCTCCGGGCTGTTAGCAGCTCCCCGCTGTCCCCCAGGTACCCCCTTCTGGTGCCTCCTGGACGTGGTGCCCATTAAGAATGAGAAGGGCGAGGTGGCGCTCTTCCTGGTCTCCCACAAGGACATCACCGACAGCAAGAGCCGGCCGGGTGCCGAGAGCTGGAAGGAAGGTGCGTGCGTGCGTGTGTGTGGGGGTGTCTGCAGGCAATCTCCAGGGCAACTGGGCCTTAGAGACAGCCCCAGACCCTCACACTTGCTGGCCAAGCAAATCATGGGCCCTTCAGAAGGTGGGTCACGTGCAGGGTAACAGCCTGCTACTGCTGCCATCTGGCAGAGCGACTCCTCTAGCTCAAGCTGCAGTGGCCTGGTCTGTGAGTGGAGACGGGCCCAGGTTGGATGTGGGGGGTTGCATGTTACACAGACGCACACGACACGTGTGTGACGGGACATGGCAGGCGGGTGCAGAGGGACAGACGTACGCTGACCAGCATCCCACTCGTTTCTCCCACCTGTGTGCGGAAAGGAATTTGTTATGTGCACCAATGTGGAGGTGACGTGTGACACATCACAACATTCATGTGGCGGGGGTGGGGCTGAGGGGTGCAGAGTGTGGGAGGGGGCTCAGGGCTGGAGTGCGGGGGGGCGGTGAGGGCTCTGGCTGGGGGTGCGGGCTCTGGGGTGGAACTGGGGTTGAGGAGTGTGGGACGGGGCTCAGGACTGGGGCAGAGGGTTGGGCGTGTGGGCTCTGGGGTCGGGCCAGGAATGTGGGGTCTGGGGTGCAGGCTGCCAGGGGGCTACAGCGGGGAGACAGGACCCCCCCCAGCTCTCTCTCCCCACCGCAGCCCCAAGCACCTGTGAGGCGCTTAAAAGTCGGCTGCGTGGCCACGCGGCTTAGAGGGAACTTAGATGCCGACCCCCATCCCATGGGCCCCTCTGGGTGCCCCTAACATCCAGCTGCTCCCCCCCTCTCTCGGGCAGGTGGGAAGCGCCGGTTCAGCCGGGCCGGTGCCAAGGGGTTCAACGCCAACCGGCGCCGGAGCCGGGCCGTGCTCTATCATCTCTCTGGACACCTGCAGAAACAGGGCAGGAGCAAACACAAGCTCAACAAGGTGCATGGGGGGGACTGGACTGTGAGTGGGGGGTTGGGGAGGAGACCCTGAGTTGGGGCTGGCGGAGGGGGTTCCCTGAGGGAGGGAACTGCCTGGGTTGGGGAGCCTGGGGAGGGGGCTGGCAATGGGGATTTCCTGGTTCGGGGGGGCTGCCTGGGTCAAACAGGGCCTGGGGGGGGCGGGAGGGTCCAGGGAGGCAGGCTGGTGGGGGGGTCCCATGGGGGAGGGGCTGACCCTGGGGCTGACCCCGCTCCCTCGCCCAGGGAGTGTTCGGGGACAAGCCCTCGCTCCCCGAGTACAAGGTGGCCGCGATCCGCAAGTCGCCCTTCATCCTGCTGCATTACGGCGCCTTCAAGGCCGGCTGGGACGGGCTCATCCTGCTGGCCACGCTCTACGTGGCCGTGACGGTGCCCTACAGCGTCTGTGTCGGGGCCGGCTCCGACGAGGGGCTCACGGCCGGCCGCGGCCCCCCCAGCGTCTGCGACCTGTGCGTGGAGATCCTCTTCATCCTGGGTAAGGACCCTGGGTGCCACCCCCTGCCCAGCTTCCCCAGTGCCCGCTCTGCCCGCACGCCGCACGCCTCACTCCCGACCCGCAGCCCCCTGCCCAGCTTCCCCAGTGCCCGGTCTGCCCGCGCGCCTCACTCCCGACCCGCAGCCCCCTGCCCGGCTACCCCAGTGCCCGGTCTGCCCGCACGCCTCACTCCCGACCCGCAGCCCCCTGCCCGGCTACCCCAGTGCCCGGTCTGCCAGCGTGCCTCACTCCTGACCCGCAGCCCCCTGCCCGGCTACCCCAGTGCCCTCTCTGCCCGCGCGCCTCACTCCCGACCCGCAGCCCCCTGCCCGGCTACCCCAGTGCCCGCTCTGCCCGCATGTCTCACTCCCGACCCGCAGCCCCCTGCCCGGCTACCCCAGTGCCCTCTCTGCCGGTGCTCCTCACTCCCGACCCGCAGCCCCCTGCCCGGCTACCCCAGTGCCCGCTCTGCCCGCACGCCTCACTCCCGACCCGCAGCCCCCTGCCTGGCTACCCCAGTGCCCTCTCTGCCAGCGCGCCTCACTCCCGACCCGCAGCCCCCTGCCCGGCTACCCCAGTGCCCACTCTGCCCGCGCGCCTCACTCCCGACCCGCAGCCCCCTGCCCGGCTACCCCAGTGCCCGGTCTGCCCGCGCGCCTCACTCCCGACCCGCAGCCCCCTGCCCGGCTACCCCAGTGCCCTCTCTGCCCGCGCGCCTCACTCCCGACCCGCAGCCCCCTGCCGCCCCAGCCCTGGCTCTTTGCTTGGTGCGGCTCGCAGGGCAGCCCTTTCTCCAGCCAGGACCCCTCCTCCCCGCGGGGGCTGCGCTGAGGCCGTTGAGCTCAATTCACTGGTGACGCTGCCCCCCTACGTTAACCCCGCGGGCGCTGTGCTCCCTGCAGACATCGTGCTCAATTTCCGCACCACCTTCGTCAGCAAGTCGGGGCAGGTGGTGTTCGACCCGCGCGCCATCTTCCTGCACTACCTCACCAGCTGGTTCCTGCTCGACCTGGTGGCCGCCCTGCCCTTCGACCTGCTCTATGCCTTCAAGGTCAACGTGGTGAGTCAGCCCCGGGGCGGGGGGAGCTCCCAAGGGGAAGCCTGGAACCCCCAAGCGCCAGCAAAGTCTGGAGCAGGCAAAGCCAGGAATTTAGCTCCCCTGGGACTGAGTCAGCCCCACTCCAGCCCTCCCCCTTGGTCCCCACCAGCTCCGGCCCCATGTCGGCCTCAGCCCTTCCCTGCTGGGTGGCTGTGGGAGCCCCCTGCCGTGCCCTGCCCCGCCACCAGGGCAGCGAACTCCCCGCGCTCTCTCCCCGCAGTATTTCGGGGCTCACCTGCTGAAGACGGTGCGGCTGCTACGGCTGCTGCGGCTGCTGCCCAACCTGGACCGGTACTCGCAGCACAGCGCCGTGGTGCTCACGCTGCTCATGATCGTCTTCGCCCTGCTGGCCCACTGGGTCGCCTGCGTCTGGTTCTTCATCGGCCAGCTGGAGATCGAGAGCAGCCGCGCGGAGCTGCCGGAGATCGGTAGGTGGGGCACGCGCGCGTGCACGGGGCACCCCTGTGCGTGCTCCAGCACGTGCACCCGCCGCGCTGCTCCACGTGTGCAATTGCACGCCCAGTCACAACAGGTGTGCACCCGCCGCGCTGCTCCACGTGTGCGATTGCACGCCCAGTCACAACAGGTGTGCACCCGCCGCGCTGCTCCATGTGTGCGATTGCACACCCAGTCACAACAGGTGTGCACCCACCACGCTGCTCCACGTGTGCGATTGCACACCCAGTCACAACAGCCGTGCTCCTGCCGCGCTGCTCCACGTGTGCGATTGCATGCCCAGTCACAACAGGTGTGCACCTGCCGCTCTGCTCCACGTGTGCGATTGCACGCCCAGTCACAACAGCCGTGCTCCTGCCGCGCTGCTCCACGTGTGCAATTGCATGCCCAGTCACAACAGGTGTGCACCCGCCGCGCTGCTCCACGTGTGCGATTGCACGCCCAGTCACAACAGCCGTGCTCTTGCCGCGCTGCTCCACGTGTGCGATTGCACGCCCAGTCACAACAGGTGTGCACCTGCCGCTCTGCACCCCGTGTGTGATTGCATGCCGAGTCACAACAGGTGTGCACCCGTCGCGCTGCTCCACGTGTGCGATTGCACACCCAGTCACAACAGGTGTGCACCCGCCGCGCTGCTCCACGTGTGCGATTGCACACCCAGTCACAACAGCCGTGCTCCTGCCGCCTGCTCCACGTGTCGATTCATGCCCAGTCACAACAGGTGTGCACCTGCCGCTCTGCTCCACGTGTGCGATTGCACGCCCAGTCACAACAGCCGTGCTCCTGCCCCTCTCCATGTGTCAATTGCATGCCCAGTCACAACAGGTGTCACCCGCCCCTGCTCCACGTGTGCGATTGCACGCCCAGTCACAACAGCCGTGCTCCTGCCGCGCTGCTCCACGTGTGCGATTGCACGCCCAGTCACAACAGGTGTGCACCTGCTGCTCTGCACCCCGTGTGTGATTGCACGCCCAGTCACAACAGGTGTGCACCCGCCGCGCTGCTCCACGTGTGCGATTGCACGCCCAGTCACAACAGGTGTGCACCCGCCGCGCTGCTCCACGTGTGCGATTGCACGCCCAGTCACAACAGCCATGCTCCTGCCGCGCTGCTCCACGTGTGTGATTGCACGCCGAGTCACAACAGACGTGCACCCGCCACGCTGCACCACGTGTGCGATTGCACACCCAGTCACAACAGACGTGCACCTGCCGCTCTGGACCATGTGTGTGTGATTGCACGCCCAGTCACAACAGACATGCACCCGCCGTGCTGCTCCATGTGTGTGTGATTGCACGCCCAGTCACAACAGACGTGCTCCCAGCGCTCTGCACCGTGTGTGCGATTGCACGCCCAGTCACAACAGACGTGCACCTGCCGCTCTGGACCACGTGTGCAATTGCACGCCCAGTCACAACAGACGTGCACCTGCCGCTCTGGACCATGAGTGCGATTGCACGCCCAGTCACAACAGACGTGCACCTGCCACTCTGCACCATGTGTGTGTGATTGCATGCCCAGTCACAACAGGTGTGCACTCGCTGCTCTGCACCACACGTGTGATCGCACACCCAGTCACAACAGCAGTGCACCTGTTCTGCACCATGTGTGTACACAGGGCACACCCCGAGACGTGCACCTGCCACTCTGCACCACACACGTGTGATTGCACACCCAGTCACAACATGGGCACTTGCTGCTCTTTGCTACACACGTGCAATTGCACGCTCAATCACAATAGGCATACACCTGCTGCTCTGCATGACACGTGTGTGATCGCACACCCACTCACAACACGTGTGCACCTGCCTCTGTGACCCATGTGCCACACGGGGGAGCATGCATACATACAGACAGATGTGTGCCCATACGTACACCCCCAGCACGCCCCGCTGTCTCTGACGTCTCCCCCCCGGGCTGGGATCGGCCTTGGCCGTGCACACAGTCTCACGTGCCTGGGCCCTCCAGCCCGCACGTGCCCCATGTGCTGTCATCCCATGCCCACGGGCGCACACGGGTATGGTCTGGCAAGCGTGTCGTGGCCTCCATCTGTGCCCCCACGCTCTCGGGGTATCACCAGCCCCCCCCAGGCGCACACGCAAGGTGTCACGGTTGGAAACAACCCCCGCCTGAGGGTGTCAGTTTGCACACACGTGTGCCCCCGCAGACACGCGTGCACAAACGCACACACTCTGAGGTGCCCCTACGAAGCCGATCCCTGCCCCAGGCTGCCCTCCCCCACCGGCCAGCCTGCCCCTGCCCCGGGTTCGCTCACACCTTGGGTCAGGCCTGCCTCTGGGCACTGCCGGACGCCCTGGCTGGGTCCCAGCCGGCCCCAGGCCCTGCCCCAGCTCATCCCAGCTGCTCTTGCTCCGCCCCGGGGGGGCTTTGACCCGTCTCTGCCCCCCAGGTTGGCTCCAGGAGCTGGCTCGGCGCCTCGAGACCCCCTACTACCTGGCGAGGAAGAGCTGCAGGTCCCCGGCCAACGGGACGGGCCCGGGGGGGCCCCCTGGGGCCAACTGCAGCCTCACTGGGAACAGCTGGGAGCTGCTGGGGGGGCCCTCACTGCGCAGTTCCTACCTCACCTCGCTCTACTTCGCCCTCAGCAGCCTGACCAGCGTCGGCTTCGGCAACGTCTCGGCCAACACCGACACCGAGAAAATCTTCTCCATCTGCACCATGCTCATCGGGGGTGAGGGGGGGCACCAGGGGAGCAGAGCTCTGGGGGGAGGCAGACACAGGGCAGGGGGCAGGGCTTTGAGGCCAGGGTGAGGGGCACCAGGATGCCAGGGGGGGGGGCTGCCAGAGGTGTGAGTGGGCAGAGGGAGGCCTGGCGGGGAGGGGAAGTTAGGGGGGGAGTCAGTGGGGGGGGTGACCGGCAGGGGAGGATCAGGCTGCCCCCCGCATCGCTGTACCAGGACCCCAGTGACCCTGTCTCCTGGGCACTTTGCATCCTGGCCTCCTAACAAGGGGTGGGGCTCTGGGGAGCCCTGGGGGGACCCTCGGGGGGATGTAGCCCCCACCCCCAACCGCCTGTGCCCACCCCATCCCCAGTCTCACCCGGGTGCTGGATACAGCGATGGGCAGTTGCCATGGAGACGGGTGAGCGCCTGTCGGGTGAGTGGGCGGGCGGGCGGGGGCTTCACCCACACAAGCTGCCAAGGGGGATCGCTAGCCGTAGGGGGCCCCCTTCCCCCCTCCCAGCACCCCCTGCTCTGCCCCCATGCGCGCCCAGTGCCCCTCACTCCCAACCCGCAGCCCCTGCTAGCCCAGCCCTGCCCCCCCCACCTCCGCCGGTGCCCCTCACTCCCGACCCACAGCCCCTGCTAGCCCAGCCCTGCCCCCCCACCTCCGCCGGTGCCCCTCGCTCCCGACCCACAGCCCCTGCTAGCCCAGCCCTGCCCCCCACCCCAGCTCTCGGTGCCCCTCGCTCCCGACCCACAGCCCCTGCTAGCCCAGCCCTGCCCCCCCACCTCCGCCGGTGCCCCTCGCTCCCGACCCGCAGCCCCTCTAGCCCAGCCCTGCCCCCCCCAGTTCTGCCGGTGCCCCTCACTCCCGACCCGCAGCCCCTCTAGCCCAGCCCTGCCCCCCCACCTCCGCCAGTGCCCCTCACTCCCGACCCACAGCCCCTCTAGCCCAGCCCTGCCCCCCCCCAGTTCTGCCGGTGCCCCTCACTCCCGACCCGCAGCCCCTGCTAGCCCAGCCCTGCCCCCCCCACCTCCGCCGGTGCCCCTCACTCCCGACCCACAGCCCCTGCTAGCCCAGCCCTGCTTCCCACCCCAGCTCCGCCAGTGCCCCTCGCTCCCGACCCACAGCCCCTGCTAGCCCAGCCCTGCCCCCCCCCCCGCCGGTGCCCCTCCTCCCGACCCCACCCCTCTAGCCCAGCCCTCCCCCCCCAGTTCTGCCGGTGCCCCTCACTCCCGACCCGCAGCCCCTGCTAGCCCAGCCCTGCCCCCCCACCTCCGCCAGTGCCCCTCACTCCCGACCCACAGCCCCTGCTAGCCCAGCCCTGCCCCCCCCAGTTCTGCCGGTGCCCCTCACTCCCAACCCGCAGCCCCTGCTAGCCCAGCCCTGCCCCCCCCCCACCTCTGCCGGTGCCCCTCACTCCCGACCCACAGCCCCTGCTAGCCCAGCCCTGCTTCCCACCCCAGCTCCGCCAGTGCCCCTCGCTCCTGACCCGCAGGCCCCTGAGCGGGTCTCCACAAAGCGCTCGGGTGGGAGCGATCGGGTCAGTCTGGCTCCACGTTACCCGGAGGCTGCCTGGGCCCTGTCCTTCCAAAGTGAGCCCAGGAGTCCGGGCTGCCCTCCCGCGGCCAGGCCTGACCCCGGTCCCGCTCTCCCCACAGCGCTGATGCACGCCGTGGTGTTCGGGAACGTGACGGCCATCATCCAGCGCATGTACGCCCGGCGCTTCCTGTACCACAGCCGCACCCGCGACCTGCGGGACTTCATCCGCATCCACCGCATCCCCAAGGTGCTCAAGCAGCGCATGCTGGAGTATTTCCAGACCAGCTGGGCCCTGCACAACGGCATCGACACCCACGAGGTGAGCCCGCCCCAGCCGGGAGCTCCCTGGGGGGTTGGCCTAGAGCGAGGGGGGGAAGTCGTGCCACCAGGGAGCAGCCTGTTTTGTCTCTACTGGGGTTGGGGCCGTGCGGCTGTGTTTTCGCTCTGCTGGCTCTGGGGGCCCCTCCCGGGCCCGCTGTGGGGGGAGCGGGGCTGGCAGGGGGGTGGGGGTGGGCCTGGTGTGTGTGGGAGGGGCTGGGCCGCCCGAGCGGGAGCCGGGGTCGTTAATTCTGCTCCCCCCCGGCCCCGCCCAGCTGCTGCGGAGCCTGCCGGACGAGCTGCGGGCCGACATCGCCATGCACCTGAACAAGGAGCTGCTGCAGCTGCCGGTGTTCGAGGCGGCGAGCCGGGGCTGCCTGCGCGCCCTCTCGCTCAGCATCAGGCCGGCGTTCTGCACCCCGGGCGAGTTCCTCATCCGCCAGGGCGACGCACTGCAGGCCCTCTACTTCGTGGGCTCGGGCTCCATGGAGGTGCTGAGGGACGACACCGTCCTGGCCATCCTAGGTCTGCGCCTTGCCTGGGCGGGGGGGATCAGGCAGGGAAGGGCCCCCCCCCCCATCACTTGGTCACGGTGCCGACTAAGCCAAATGCTTCACTGAGGATGTGCCCCTCACTCCCGACCCACAGCTCCTGCTGTCCCTGCCCTGGGCTCCCCCCAGCTCTGCCGGTGCCCCTCACTCCCAACCCGCAGCCCCCTGCTAGCCCAGCTCTGCCCCCCTCCAGCCCTGCCGGTGCCCCTCACTCCCGACCCGCAGCCCCCTGCTCTGGGCTCCCCCCAGCACTGCCGGTGCCCCTCACTCCCGACCCGCAGCCCCCTGCTAGCCCAGCCCTGCCCCCACAGCTGGGCCAGTGCCCCTCACTCCCCCCCCCCCCCCGCAGCCCCTGCTACCCCATCCCTGGGGGGTCTCCGCTGGTTTTGAGGTACAGGGATGGGGCCGAGCCTGTCCCCCCCCGACTCCAGGGCCTCAGATGGCCTGTAACGCCCGGGGGGGGGCACTGGACCTGCTGCATCCGCTGGGCGTCAGCGACCCGCCCTTTGCTCCTAGGGAAGGGGGACCTGCTGGGCTGCGACCTCTCGGGCCAGGAGCGCGTGATCAAGGCCAACGCGGACGTCAAGGGCCTGACCTACTGCGACCTGCAGGGCCTGAGCCTGCGGGGGCTGGGCGAGAGCCTGGCGCTGTACCCCGAGTTCGCCGACAAGTTCCGCCAGGAGATCCGCACCGAGCTCAGCTACAACCTGGGCAGCGCCGGGCCCCAGGTGAGGGGCGGGGCCAGGGGCGGGGCCTGACCCGCCCAGCAGGGAGCGCCCCCTAGTGCTTGGCTGGGCACCTGGGGCGGGGGGCTGTGCAGCCCCTGGTGCCCCAGTGCAGTGGGGTGGGGGGGTGCTCGCCCTGACCAGCCGTGCAGGCCCCAGTGCAGTGCTGGTCTCACCCCGCTCCAGGGCAGGGGTTGGCCTTGCTGCCTCCCTGACCCCCTCACCCCGAGCTGATTGGGGGGGGGCTCCTCCCTTCCTGCCCCAACCTGTCACTTAACATTCCTTAAACCTAGTCAAACACCCCCCGATAAAAACAAAGGACCCAGCGGCAGGAGTGAAAAGGGAACCCAAGCAGAGGCCAGCAACAGAGCGGGGGGCTACTGCGTTTATTGCACCCAAGGCAGCATGTCTGATTACCTGCCCTATGGGCGGGTGGCGTATTTGTGCGTTCGGCGCAAGGAGCTCCTGGCCCTCAGACCGCATACGGGCTTTGGAGACAAGCGTGGTGGAGCTGAGGGAGACAGAGCGGGACCTAGATGAGACTTTCCGGGACACAGTAGAGCGGTCCCACCCCCGGTCTGACAGCCTCTGTGCTGCTCAGGAGGATGAAAGCCTCAGGGAAGGAGAACATCCAACTGGAGCAGAGGGAAAGGATCCCATAGTTGGGACCCTCCTCCCGGATGATGTTGTGGTCTCCTCTCGCACTGAGGACACCTCTCCGGGGTAGGGCACTCCAGTTATTGGCAAGAGACAGGTGTTAGTAATGGGGATTCAATCATTAGAAACCTAGACGGCTGAGTTTGTGATGACCGGGAGAACCGCATGGTGACCTGCCTGCCTGGTGCAAAGGTTGCGGCTCTCTCCAGGCATCGAGATAGACGTATGTGGCGTGCTGGGGAGAAGCCAGTGGTTGTGGTATGTGTAGGTACCAATGACAGGGAAGGGTAGGAGAGACGTCCTGGAGGCCAAATTTAGGTTGCCAGGTAAAAGGTTGAAGTCCAGGACCTCCATGATACGTTCTCTGAGATGCTCCCAGTTCCACGCACAGGGCCAGTTAGAACGGCAGGGTCTCAATGCGTGGATGAGACGATGGTGCAGGTTTAGATTTATTAGCAACTGGGGGAACTTTTGAGAAAGGGGGAGCCTGTACAGGAAGGATGGGCCCCACCTAAACTAGATTGGAACCAGATTGCTGGGGCTTAATATTTAAAAGGTCGTAGAGCAGTTTTTAAACTAAGGGCTGGGGGAAAGCCGACAGGCACGGAGAAGCACGTGTTTTGGACAGAGACGTCCCTTAGGGGAGGGGCTATTAATGGAGATTCTCCATGTCCTAGTGAGGAGGAGAGGATGGAAGATGATAAAATACAGGCAGGGTCTGATGAGAAACAGTCAAATGAAAAAAGTCCCGTTCAATTACATCGTGTAATGGCAGACAGCTAAAAAGTGACAAGTTTTTAATTGCTTATAAACCCAGTGCTAGAAGCCTAAATAATAAGATGGGTGAACAAGAGGACCTCGTATTGAACGAGGAGATTGATCTAACAGGCATCACAGAAACCTGGTGGAATGAGGATAATCAATGGGACACGGTGATACCAGGGTACAAAATCTATCAGAAGGACAGAACAGCTTGTGCTGGCGGGGGAGTGGCGCTCGATGTGAAAGAAAGTGTAGAATCAAATGAAGTAAAAATCTGAAATGAACCGAACTGTACCATAGAATCTCTCTGGACAGTAATTCCATGCTTGAATAATTCGAATATAGCAGTAGGGAGATGTTACCGACCACCTGAGCAGGATGGTGAGAGTGACTGTGAAATGCTCAGGGAGGTTAGAGAGGCTATTAAAATAAAAAACTCAATAATAATAATGGGGGATTTCAACTATCCCCATAGTGGCTGGGTCCATGTCACTCCAGGGCAGGATGCAGAGAGAAAGTTTCTTGACACCTTCAATGACGGCTTCTGGGAGCAGCGCGTCCTGGAACCCATGAGAGGCAGTTCCTGATTTAGTCCTAAGTGGAGCGCAGGATCTGGTCCAAGAGGGGAATAGAGCTGGACCAGTTGGTAATTGTCACGGCGTCCCCGGGCGATGCTCTGGAGCTGCTCCCTACGAAGCCAGGCAGGACTCTGGGGAAGTCTCCTTTCTCTGAGCAGCCTGTCTTCAGGGGACACAGCTCACACAGCTTCCACCTTCCTGGGTCTGACCTCGGAGCATTCAGCCTCCTCTGCCCCTCCGTGCGCTTCCCCCAGCGAGTCTGCCCAGGTGGGGTCCTGGGGAGCCAGAGGGTCCTGCCCCCCAACTCCGCAGTCAGACGTGACTCTCAGCCAGCCAGTAAAGCAGAGGTTTATTAGACGACAGGAACATGGTCAGCATGTCCCTCAGCAGATCGAGGGACGTGATCGTTCCCCTCTATTCGACATTGGTGAGGCCTCATCTGGAGTACTGTGTCCAGTTTTGGGCCCCACACTACAAGAAGGATGTGAAAAAATTGGAAAGAGTCCAGCGGAGGGCAACAAAAATGATTAGGGGGCTGGAACACAAGTTATGAGGAGAGGCTGAGGGAACTGGGATTGTTTAGTCTGAGGAAGAGAAGAATGAGGGGGGATTTGATAGCTGCTTTCAACTACCTGAGCGGGGGTTCCAGAGAGGACGGCTCTAGACTGTTCTCAGGGGTGGCAGATGACAGAACGAGGAGTAATGGTCTCAAGTTGCCGTGGGGGAGGTTTAGGTTGGATATTAGGAAAAACTTTTTCACTAGGAGGGTGGTGAAACACTGGAATGCATTACCTAGGGAGGTGGTGGAATCTCCTTCCTTAGATATTTTTAAGGTCAGGCTTGACAAAGCCCTGGCTGGGATGATTTAATTGGGGATTGGTCCTGCTTTGAGCAGTGGGTTGGACTAGAACCTCCTGAGGTCCCTTCCAACCCTGATAGTCTATGATTCTATGGTCTAAAACAGAGCTTGTAGGTCCATAGAACAGGACCCCTCAGCCGGGTCAATTTTGGGGGGCAGTGAGCCAGACAACCACTTCTGCACTTCACTCCTCGTCCCCAGCCAGCCCCAAACTGACTCCCCCTCCAGCCCCTCCTCCTCTGGGCTTTGTCCCTTTCCTGGGCCAGGAGGTCACCAGATTCCTTTGTTCTCCAACCCTTTAGCTCTCAGCTTGCAGGGGGGAAGGGCCCAGCCCATCAGTTGCCAGGAGACAGAGTGTCACCATTTATGTACCCTGGCCCTGTGCTCTGCAACAATTACACCCCTGCCTTATCCCACCACCTAGAGCCTTAAGGAAATGCCTAGGGGAAACTGAGGCACCCCGACAATATTCAGAGGAAACATTAAGCACAGTCCCACTTCGTCACAGTCATAGTGACCATAATATAATTGAATTTAACATCCCTGTGGCAGGGAAAACACCACAGCAGCCCAACACAGTAGCATTTAATTTCAGAAAGGGGGACTACACAAAAACCAGGAGGTTAGTTTAACAGAAATTAAGAGGTACAGTGCCCAAAGTGAAATCCCCGCAAGCTGCGTGGAGACTTTTTAAAAACACCATAATAGAGGCTCAACTTAAATGTACACCCCAAATTAAACACCATAGTCAGAGAACCAAAAAGAGCCACCGTGGCGAAACAAGAAAGTAAAAGAAGCAGTGAGAGGCAAGAAGGCCTCCTTTAAACAGTGGAAGTGAAATCTTAGTGCGGAAAATGAAAGGAGCCTAAACTCCGGCAAGTGAAATGTAAAAATAGAACGAGGCCGGCCCCAAAAGAGCGTGAAGAACGGGTGGCCAAAGACTCAGAAAGTAATGGCAATGTTTTTTAAGTCCATCAGAAGCAGGAAGCTGCTAAACAGCCAGGGGGGCCCCTGGCCGATCGAGGTGCGAAGGAAGCACTCAAGGATGATAAGGCCATTGCGGAGAAACGAAATGAATTCTTTGCATCAGTTTTCACGGCTGAGGACATGCAGGAGATTCCCAAACCTGAGCCATTCTTTTTAGGTGACAAATCTGAGGCACTGTCCCAGATTGAGGTGTCATTAAAGGAGGTTTTGGAACAAACTGATAAAACTAAACAGCAATGAGTCACCAGAACCAGACGGTACCACCCAAGAGTTCTGAAGGAACTCAAATGTGAAAGTGCAGGACTACTCACTGCAGTCTGTACCCTGTCACTGAAATCAGCTTCGGTACCCGATGACTGGAGGGGAGCTAATGTGATGCCAATTTTAAAAAATGGCTCCAGAGGCGATCCTGGCAATTACAGGCCAGTAATCCTGACTTCAGTACCAGGGAAACTGGTTGAAACTATAATAAAGAACAATATTGTCAGACACAGAGATGAACATAATTAGTTGGGGAAGAGTCAACATGGTTTTTGTCAAGGAAAATCATGCCTCACCCATCTACTAGAATTCTTTGAGGGGGGTCAACAAGCATGTGGACAAATGGGATCCAGTGGATACAGTGTACTTAGATTTTCAGAAAGCCTTTGACAAGGGCCCTCACCAAAGGCTCTTAAGCAAAGTAAGCTGTCATGGGATAAGAGGGAAGGTCCTCTCTTGGATTGATAACTGGTTAAAAGATAGGAAACAAGGGTAGGAATAAATGGTCGTTTCCAGAATGGAGAGAGGTAAATAGTGGTGTCCCCAGGGGTCTGCACTGGGCCCAGGACGATTCAACATATTCATAAACAATCTGGAAAAAGGGGTAAACAGTGAGGTGGCAAAATCTGCAGATGATACAAAACTACTCAAGACAGCTAATTCCCAGGCAGACTGCGAAGAGCTACAAAGGATCTCTCAGAACTGGGTGATGGGGCCACAAAATGGCAGATGAAATTCAATGTTGATAAATGCAAAGTAATGCACATTGGAAAACATCATCCCAGCTCTACACATACAATGATGGGGTCTAAATTAGCTGTCACCACTCAAGAAGGAGATCTTGGCGTCAGTGTGGCGAGTTCTCTGAAAACTTCCACTCCGTGCACAGCGGCCGTCAGAAAAGCGAACAGAACGTTGGGAACCACTAGGAAAGGAACAGATAATAAGGCAGAAAATATCATGTTGCCTTTCTATAAATCCATGGGACGCCCACATCTTGAATACGCGTGCAGATGTGGTCGCCCCAGCTCAAAAAAGATATACTAGAATTGGAAAATGTTCAGAAATAGGCAACAAAAATGATTCGGGGTCTGGAACGGCTTCCGTATGAGGAGCGATTAATCAGACTGGGACTTTTCAGCTTGGAAAAGAGATGACTAAGGGGGGATGTGATAGAGGTCTATAAAATCATGACTGGTGGGGAGAAAGTAAATAAGGAAGTGGTATTTACTCCTCCTCAAGAACTAGAGGTCATGAAATTAAATTAATAGAAAATTTAAAACAAACCAAAGGAAGTATTTCTTCACACAACACACAGTCAACCTGTGGAACTCCTTGCCAGAGGATATTGTGAAGGCCAAGACTCCAAATGAGGTTCAAAAGAGAATAAGTTCATGGAGGCTAGTCCATCAGTGACTATTAGCCAGAATGGGCAGGGATGGTGTCCCGAGCCTTGGTTTTACCAGAAACTGGGAATGGGCGATGGGATGGATCACTTGAGGATTCCCTGTTCTTTTCATTCCCTCGCGGGCCCCTGGCCACTGTCAGCAGACTGGACACTGGGCAGGACGGACCTCGAGTCTGACCCAGTCTGGCCGTTCTGATGTCAGCGAGCAGAGGCCCCTCGGGCTGGGCGCAGGCATCACTGGAGAACCCCTGGGGCAGGGGGTGGTGACCTGGCTCTGGCGTGTGGGGCAGATGCAGGGCCAGGGAGCCACACAAGCTGAGTGAGGTGGGGCAGCAAGGCCCCTCTCCCACGCTGACCTCTCCTGCCCCCCAGGCCGACACCAGCTCGCTGAACAGCGCCAACCCCCTGCTGGAGGACAAGGCGGCCGAGGATGCCCCGGTGCCCCCACCCCGCTCGTCAGCCGGCCCAGCCCAGGAGCCCTTGGAGGCACTGTCCAGCCCCCAGCTGCCCCCCAGCTGCCCCCCCTCGGCCGTGGGAGCCAAGCTGCTGTCGCCCAGGAGGGGCGTCCTGCCCCGGACGCGGCGCCTGCCCCCTGCTGCTGGCCCCCAGACCCTGCAGCTCCACAGCCTGCCCTGGATGGGGCCCCCTGACCTCAGCCCCAGGTAAGAGGGTGCCGGGGCCTGGGGTGGGGGGGGTCCTGCTGTGCCAGGGCCTGGAGTGAGGCTAACAGGGGTTCATCCCAGCTGCCCGGGGTCGGGGTGTTTCCTGGTGGTTACCCCGGTGGCTGGGCACGCGGCTCAGATCTGCCCAGGTGGCTTTAGGCAATGACAACCCCCCCGCCCCCCAGGGAGGTGTGGGGGCCTGAGCCCTTCGGAGACTCCCAGCTGGGTGTCCCTGGGCTAATGGGAGGGGGATGGAGCCCCCCTGCTGGGTAGCTCTGGGGTCCCAGGGCTGATGGCCGTGGAGGGGGGATGGAGCCCCCTGCCTCCCCCTGCCCTGTGCTGGGTGGCACCAGGGCTGATGGCCGGGGAGGGGGGGATGGAGCCCCTGTACCCCCCCATGACGGTGCCGCTCTCCACTGCAGGGTGGTAGACGGCATCGAGGAAGACGCCTGCGGCTCAGATAAGTCCATGTTCAGCTTCCAGGTCGGCCCCTCGGGCCCCGACTGCAGCAGCCCCTCCCCTGGGCCAGGTACTGTCAGCGCCCCGGTGGGAGCAGGGGCGGGGGAGGCTCTGGGAGGGGGCTGGGCACTAGGACTCCTGGGTTCTCTCCCTGGGAGTGGGGGGGGGGGCCTGTCCTCCTGGGTTCTCGCCCCTGCTCTGGGTGGGGCTGGGGACTAGGACTGCAGGGTTCTCTCCTCTGCTCCAGGAGGGCTTGGTGCTAGCCTGCCGTCTCCCCTTGCCCCAGACAGCGGGCTGCTCGCCATCCCCCTGGGCCCAGCAGAGCTGACGGGCGCAGACGCCATCGAGAAGCTGCGGCAGGCGGTAAGCGTGTGGGTGGGGGGCTCAGCCCCTGGCATCCTGCCCCGCGTGGGGCCCAGGGGGTGGGGGAGAGCACTGGTGCACTGGGATGCTGTGGATTCAGGGAGCCCCGGCCCAGGGGAGGGGGCAGAGGGCCCTGCCTGGGCGTGGCTCTCCCGCCCAACTCGTGGGCCCCTCCCTGGCATGGGGGGCTGCCCCCACACTGAGGGACCTATCAGCTGGGGTGGGCAGGGAGGGGGCACTGGCCCGCCCCTCTGCACTCACTCCTCTCCCTGCCCCCAGGTGGCCGAGCTGTCGGGGCAGGTCCTGCAGATGCGCGAGGGGCTGCAGTCGCTGCGCCAGGCCCTGCAGCTCTTCCTGCTGTCCCAGCCGCCAGCTCCGCTCGCCCGCCCCGAGGGCACCGCCTCCTACACGGCCTCGGCTTTCCCCGGCGCCACCCTGCTGCAGCCGCTGCGCGTGGAGACGGGCATCCCGGCCTTCTTCCTGCACAGCTCCGCGCCCGGCCCCTGCCTCAACGCAGCCTGCCCCCGCGCCCAGCCTGCGCCCCCGTGGGCCTGGGGCCCGCCCGCCTCCCACAGCTCGCCCTGGCCCGGCGCCCCCCGGACCGCGGCAGGGGGCACAGACGTGGAGCTCGGGGCTAGCTCCGGCCCCAGGGACCCCACTGCTCCCACGGCAGCACCGGCCTCCCCTGCCCCCCACGGACCGCCAACCGCTGAGACGGACCCCCAGGGGCCTCCAGCTCCGGCCGCTTTCCCTCGGCCCTGGGACCCGCCCGGCCTGGAGATGGTGCTGCTGGGCGCCCCCGGCACCCCCTGCTGGCCCCGGGAGGACGGCACAGGCATGTAAAGGCTGCACCCCCCCTACACACAGCAGGATTTTTCTGCCCCCCCACCGCCCCCGGAGAGCCAGGGGGCCTGGCCTGGCCCCACAGCCCCCGTGGGGAGCCCCCACAGGCCACGGGGCTCGGGCCTCGCTCCCAACACACCGCTGCCTCTGGGGGCTGCCCCCATGAGCACTGCGGGGGGATAGGCCACAAGGGGTTCAGTGCAGGAGCCGCTCTCCAGAGCTTGTGGCAGGAGCCTGGTTCCACCCCCAAGGGCACAGCTGGCCCCAGCCGGCGGAGAGGGGGCAGGGTCCCGTCTGGCCTGTGGAACTGGGGGGAGGGAGCAGGGGGGCCCCTTGCCTCCAGGCAGTTGGGGGCAGCAGGGCTTCCAGTCCATAGGGCTTCCCCTCCCCCTCCCTTTTTAGATTAAAACAGCTGCGTTTTGATCTCTGCTCTTGTGTCTATTTAGGCCTCTGCCTCACATACACTCACTACGACGTGGGGTAGGGCAGTCGCGCTGGGCCCAGCCGCAGGCCCCCTTCGACGGCCAAGGCAGGGCAGGCCCCATGGGCAGGGAGAGGGGCAGTGGCTGCCCTGTTAACAGGGGGAACTCACTGCGGCAGGACAGAGCCTGGTGCCCTCTCGCTGCCAGCCCCTCCCTGACACCGGCAGGCCCCAGAGACCAGTAGCAGGTTGGACGCATTTATTTGGAAGGTAACATCGTGCAGTCGGGCCCCCGCTGCGTGACACAGGAGGTGCAGCCGCCGGCACCTTTGTGCTCTGCCCCCCAGCCAGAGGGGAGCGGGCGGCCCCAGGGCCAGGCCCAGCCTCCGGGGAAAGGAGGGGGCTGGGAGCCTGCGGCGGGTGAAGCCAGCAGTCACCTGACGGTAGCAGGGCCCCTCACTGCTGCGGGATCTTGGCAGCTTCGGCTTTGATGAGGGCAATCAGGTCCTGGTTGATGAGGAAGACGAAGCGCAGGCTGGCGATCTGCAGGGGAGAGGGAGGTCAGCGCGGGCAGGGCCCGGGCAAGGCCCAGCAGAGCTCCTGGCAGCCTGGGCAGCTCTGGAGTTGGGGGAGCCCCCGCAGCGCCACCACCAGGGGCTCCCCTGGGGCACCCAGTCAGGGGGCGTCTGAGCCCGGGGGAGCAGGATCCATCCTCCCCGCGGGGCTAGCGGCAGGAAGGCCGATCCCCCGCCCACGCAGCGGGCCCGGGTGCTCACCTCCACCACCGAGTTGTTGTTGAGCTTCCACTTGCTGCCCCCCAGCACGGGGCGCCCGTCCACGTAGATGGGCCGCCGGCCCTCGTTGGCAATGAAGAAATCCCCGTTGTTCTTCAGCTTGATGACGCCTGCAAGGCGCAGCGGGGTGGGGGGGCGGTGAGGGGGCGCAGAGACCTCCCGCCTGCCTTGGGGACCCCACCCACAGCCCAGCTACCAGGCAGGGCGTCGCCAGTGTCCAGCCCCACAGCGAGAGCACAGGCCTGAGCCCCACACCCAGGGACTGGAGCATTGGGCAGCGCCCCATTGCAGGTACCAGGTGCCCCCTCGCCCCACACCCCAGCAGTGCCACCCTGGAGCCGTGTGGGAGCCCCGCCCCCGATACTCACAGCCCTGCCCCTCCATGGACAGATCTATGAGGCCCACCCTGGCTGACAACAGCTCTGCCCCCGATGGGTGTGTCAGCCCTGCCCCCCTACCTTGCTTGCGGGAGATTTTCCAGGCAGGGCCCTCCAGCGCCAAGTCCACGTCAATCTGATTGTCCTTCGTGGCTCTGCCCAGCGTGATCTGGGGGGCGAGGGCTGTTAGCCAGGTGCTGCCCCCCCCACCTGCGTGCTCCCCCAGGGTGGGCAGGGACCAGGTGGCTCTAAGCATCAGCCAGCCCTGCCCCGCAGTGAGCCCCCTCTGCTCCGCCCACTAGGGCACAGCCCCTCCCTGTGTGCCCAGCAGCAGGCTCGGAGCCTGTACCATGGCCACCCCGGGGCCATGCTGCAGTGACTGCTGCATCTCGGGGCCTTTAGCCGGGCTGATTCGGGGAGCTGGCCCACGAGGACTCACCTCTCGGGAGCGCATGAGGTAACGCACCATCCTCCCCCGGAGCACGGCCAGTGTCTGGTTGTCAAAGTCCGGGGAGCTCATTCCTGGACGAGGGAGGAGAGAGTTCAGACAGACTCACCTCCCACCGTGGGTCACCCGGAGAACCGCCCCCACCTCCGCTCATGGGTCATCCGGAGAACCGCCCCCACCTTCCCCCCCCGGGACACCCAGAGAACCACCCCCACCTTCCCCCCCGGGACACCCAGAGAACCGCCCCCACCTTCCCCCCCGGGACACCCGGAGAACCGCCCCCACCTTCCCCGACGGCTCTTGGGTGGAAAGACCCCCCACCCCGGGTCTCAGCCAGGCACAGACTGATCCTGAGCGTCACGGTTCCCAGGAGTCCCAGGCAACCCTGCAGCGTGGATGTCTGCTCACTGCCCTGGGGGACGCTGGGACTTTGTCCCACCCAGCCCCGCCCCCATGGCCCGGAGGCCGAGGCCCCCCCGGCCAGCTCAGCGCTCTGAGCCAGGCCAGCAGAGCCCCCGCGGCTCTCACCCGTGATGCTGTCCACCAGCACCTGCCACTTGTGCAGCTCCTGCTCCAGCTGCCGGATCTCCCGCTTCTGGCGCCTGTCGGCCACGGCCAGTTCTGCAAGGAGGGAAGTGCAGGGGGCAGCTCGGGCCGGCACAGGGGTGACGGGGCCCTGGGGAGAACGGGCTGGCTCGGGGGAGGGGATATGCAGCCTCTCCCCTCTGGGGGGCGCTGGCTCCCATCTGGCCTGAGGGCAGGGGTCTGGCTGGCTCAGGAGGGTGAGGAATGGGGCCTTTCCCCTCTAGGGAATGGGGCATGGAGTCTTTCCCCTCTAGGGGGCACTGGCTCTGATCTGGCCTCAGGGCAGGGACTGGCTGGCTCAGGGGGTGAAAATGGGGTACAGGGTCTTTCCCCTCTAGGGCGCGCCGACCCAGTGTCAGGGCAGAAGGGCTGTCAGGCCCAGGGGCAGCAGCGGCCGGCTGGATGGGGCTGTGGCAAAGGGTCCGAGGCACAGCGCTAACCGAACCCGCAAGGGGCTGGGGCGCCCCTCAGCTCCCCCACCCGGCGCCCCAGGGGCGGGGAGCAGAGCGAAGGTCCCGTCAGACTCACCGTGCTCCAGCACTTCGTCCCGCACATCCCTGCAGGGAAGGGACAGGGGAGGAGTCAGGTAGCTGCCCTCACACGCACGCCCACGGGATGCCTGGCAGGCTGGATCCCTAACACGCGCTCTCGGGGCCTGACGCAGCCCCAGCGCGGGCCCTCTGGAGCCACCTGCCACCATGTCTGCCCCCCAGGGCGCCAAGGGCAGCCAGGCCTGCTGGGCACTGGGCCCTCGCACACTGGGGCACGGGCGAAGCTACAGCCAGCCAGCGAGCTGGTGCTTGGTGCTGCAGAGCTGGGCTCCAGGGGGCAGGCAGCTCCAGCTAGTGGCTGCAGCAGCTTGGGCTGGGGAGCAGCAAGAAGGTAATCAGACCGAGGGGCTCCAGGCAGCCCAGGGGATATGGCCTGTGGCATGAGCTGCATGTGATGCCAGCCCCTGTGCACTGGCGGGAAGGACCCCCCGCCCAGCCCCCACATTCCCCGCAGACGCTCACTTCAGCTTGCTGTCGTCAATCACGTCCTCCGCGTCCGAGAAGTTCAGCACCTGGTCCCCCTTGGGAAGCGGCTGCACTGAACGGAAGCACAGGGCGGGGGGAGGGGTTAGCACAGTCCCTGCATCAGCACAAGCCCCCCGCGCTCTCGGGGCCCAGCCTGGTGACTTGGGCCCCGGTTCCAGGCTCTCGCGCCGGGCCCAGCCGCGGGGCAAGGGCGGGCGGTGGGGCGGGCGGGCCGCACCTGTCTGGTCGTCCAGGAGGTGGTACTGCTTCATCAGCTGCCAGTGGGCCTGCAGGGCCTTGGCCGTGCGCGAAGGGTGCAGCGCCTCGGGGTGCTCGTGCAGCAGGCCCTGGAAGGTCTCCAGCGTGGGCTGGCTGGTCTGCGGAAGGACGGACGGGTCACTGCGGCTTCCAGAACCCACCCCTAGGGGGCAGGACAGCCCCGGGCTCCCGGCAGTGGGAGCCTGGGGACATGCGTCTGCATGGATCACAGTGCCAGCTCCCACGGCTCGGCCCAGGGCTACCACTCAGGGGGCTCCGCTGGGCAGGGCTGAGGGAACCTGCTGGGCTCTCCTGGGCCAGAGTACGTGAGGGGCCATGGGGCAGGGGGCATGGCCTGGCGACTCTCCCAGGCTTTCCTGTGGCATCGGCCCCCTGGGATTTCTGTGCCGGCAGCACCGTTGGGCAATTGGGGTGTCTGTGCCACGGGGAAGGAGCCAGGAACCACAGCACATGCGCCGGGGGCCCCGGGCCAGGCCAGTGCAGCTCCCACACAGCAGGACTCCCTGGGGGGCACGGGAACCGTTTGGCTGCAGGGCGCTTTGGTGAAGGACACCCGGCAGGACGCTCTGCGGAGATGGCCCTTCCTCCCCTGGGCAGAGGGAGCGGAGCGCCTTCCAGGTCCAGACTCTCGCCCCCGCTGGCAGGGAGGGGACTCTGCCGTTTCCCCAGGAGCACGAGTCGCTGGCTGCCCGGGCTGTACCAATCCCACCTGGCTCAGCCTCCAGGTGTCACTGCATCCTGCGCACAGAGGGGGCCTGAGTGAGCCTTACCGATCCCACCTTGCTCAGCAGCTGCTCCTCGGCTTTGCTGAACAGCACCTTGCTCTGGATGGCAGTGATGGCTTCGGGGTGCAGCTGTCGCATGGCCTGACAGGCCAGCCTGCGGAGGGAACAGTGACCACGTCAGCTACCAACTCAGATTTCACGGCTCTGATGCCAAGCAGAGGGCAGGGCTCTGCCCCTCGGACTCACTGCTCCCCAGAGCCACAGCTGGGGGGACGGGAGACTCCTCACACCACCCCCAGCCACCCCTCTGGGCGAGTGACCAGCAGCAGGGAACCAGCCATGCTTGGAGCAGCGGCCCCACGGGTGGCCTGCCCCTGGCTGAGCCCGCGCCCGGTGGCCTGGCACTCACTTGGAGATGAGCGGGTCGTAGAGCAGCGCGTGCCACCTCTCCTGGATCTCCCGCAGCGTAAAGCGGCAGCTGAACTTGACGCCCAGGTGGACCGAGGTCAGGTCGTTGGTCTGCAGGGGCCCGAAGAGAGGCCAGACTTAGGGCTGGGTCCCCGCACCCACAGCGCGGCCAGAGGGGCCCTGACGGCCACGCCACCGGGATGCCCATCACCGCTCAAACAGCCATCATGGGCAACGCTTCCCAGCCTCCGGCCCCTGGGGTGCAACTGAACCGACACGAGGACGGAGCCGAGGGCTCTGGGAGGCCGAGGGCGTTTGGGACGCAGCGTGTAATCAGCCAGGGCTGGAGTTTAGGACACCGGGACTAGCACCCCCAGGTCTCGGTACAAGGTGCCGTGGCAGGTGGCCAGACCTTGACAGAACAGTCTCCCCCAGAGCCATGGGCCCCGCCCCAGAAGCTCTGCTGACTTCCCACTCCCTGCTGGGACGTTTCCCAGGCGGGTGCCAGCCTGGCCCGGCCCTGCCGAGCAGGATGGCAGCATTACCTGGAGCACAGCATTGATGAGCAGCAGGTCATCCGCAGGCTTCCAGCGGCCCAAGTCCTTCGTCACCTGCAGGGGCTGTTTGCTTTTCTTCATCCGCTTGGGGAGGCTGGAGTTTGGGACCGGGCTCGGGGTGACGGGTGCAGAGACGGATTTGGATACCTGCACGAGCCAGGAAAGGAGCTAGAGAGTCCTTGAGCCTGGCCAGCGGGGCCCACTGCTGGAGGCCATGACAGGCGGATGGGGGCTGCCCTTCACAGCCCCCCACCCAACCTAGCCAGCCCTCGTCCGGGGGGCAGGACGCGCCCAGGGAAGGTGGATGTCCGAGCGCCAATGACACTTCGCGCTTACCCGTCCAAGCCCAGCCAGCAGGGCCGGAGCCAGGAAGCGAACTGGCTGCAGGCAGCGAATGAAACTGCCTGGCTCTGGCTCGCCGTCCACCAGCAAGAGGAACCAGGCCCCACAGGAGAGAATTAACCGAGGCTCTGCCCAGCGAGTCACAGCCCGGCAGGAAAGCTGCTGACTGCCACAGTGACGGTGTCCCTTCGGCATGGTTGCTGAGGGGCTCTGTGGCTCCCAAGTTCTGTCCCAAGCTGGCTGCGGGAGCCTCCTGCCCTCTGCCCTTTCAAGTCCTGGCATGGGGAGGTCTCAGCGCTGAGCCAGGCCTGTGTGTTCTTCCCTCAGGGAGCTGCAGGATCTACTGGCCGACGGCTCTCTCTGTTCCCCTCCCCCTCAGGGATAAAGCCACCCAAGCTCTCCATGCTCAGGCTTCAGGGCTGATCTCCAGCTGGAGGTTAGGGAAAACCCCCTCCCCACAGCATAGTGTCTCCTCCCCAGCACACCCAGCCTTAGGCGCGGTCAGAGACAGAGGGACTAGGGGCCTGCTCCAGACCAGACAGGGCACCAGGCCCCGCAGGGCGCTGCCCACTCTCTTTTCCCCCTCACCTTCTTCTTCTCGCTGGAGGAGGGCTCGCTGCCCGAGCAGCGGCCTGGCTCCACCCCACTGGGCCCCTTGGCCCGGCTGGACGACTTGGCGAGGCTGCTCTCTACCAGCTCATCATCAAACTTCTTCCTCTTGATGAACCTAGTGGGTCAAACACAGGCCCCAGGTGAGGCCCCTCCACCCACGTGCAGGCCCCCGCTGCACACCTGGCTACCTGGAGCCAGCTCTCCACCCCCCAAACAGCAAGATGGGTGTGGGGCGCCCTCTGGTGGCTCCGAGTCCAACCATCACTGCAGCTCAGGGTTGTGGTTGGTGAGCCGGGCTCCAGGCCTGATGCTCGTGTTGAGTTAGCAGCACCTGGTTCATCACAGGACATCAAGAAGCCCCACGTCCCAACTTCCCATCCCCCTCTCTGGGACTGCACTGGCCTGATCCATCCTTACCGCTAGGGAGGGTCCCTCCACGATGCAGGGAACCCCAACCCCTCCTCATTGCCCTTGGCCCTTCCTGGGTACCTGGAGGAGCTCCGCCGTTTGGGGATGGAGCCCGAGACCTGTGACGAGCTCCTTTTCTGTCCTGCCAGCGACTCCTCGTCTTCAGAGCGGCTCGCCGTACCTGACGCCATCAGTCCGGAGTCCAGCACGTCTGCACCAGGACAGAGGAGACAGAGCCACACCCCTCCACATCAAAGAGATCAGATGCCAGGCATCACACTGGGCTCAGCCACAGAGAACCTGCGCTCCCTTGCACCAGCCTGCCCAATGCCAGGAAGCAGGTGGCTGTGGGTAAACCTCACATGTGATATGGCAGAAAGCCCTAGAGACCCCATAATGCAAACCTCCCCACAACTCCAGAGAGGGAGACCCCACATCAGGACTGCAGCGCATGGATCTGATACAGAGATCACGTCTCACTCCACTTCAAATGCAGCCAACTCTGCGGAGGAACGTGGTGCAGGATAACAGCTCACAGGAACACTGAGGGGTGGAACTACCAAGGGGGGAAGGGGCTCCCGGGATGGCCCAGGGGGGCGCGTAGGAGCGCGGTGAGCAGAGAGGGGAAGGCAGACGGGACCGACCAAGGGGCTGCGTCACCCTGAGCCCCGACACGCCGCCCCGGCCACCCCCACAGAGCCGGCGGGGCGCAGAGACCCCCGCGCAGGGCGGGGCTGCAATGGAGACCCCCCAAGCGACAGACCCCTCCCCCCAGGCCCAGCCGCTGCCCCGGGGAGTCGCGAGCCATCACCCTGTTCACAGGTAGGGAAACTGAGGCACGAGGAGACACTGCGCTCACCCCCCCTCCCCCGATCGCGCATGACGTCAGCAGCACAGCTGGGGCAAGACCCAGGCCTCCTGGCTGGGCCTGGGGGGAGGGGTCTATCCCTTGGGGGGTCTCCACAGCAGCCCCATCCTCCCCCAGACATTGATCACGCGCATGCGCGCTGGGCCGCTCAGTCTGGCTGCCCGCGCCCTCCACAGGCCGCGCATGCGCAATCAGCCCGGCCGGCCAGGCGCGGAGGTTTCCCCACCCCCCAGGCGGGACGCGGCGGCCCCGCGGCCTCACCATTCCCCGGTGCGGCGGCTCCGCGGCGGCGTCCGTCGAGCACGAGCCGCCATCCACAGCGGATGATCACTTCCGGAACAGCTCGGTCACTTCCGGGGGCCTAAGCGGAAGAGAGAGATTGCTTCCGGTTCAAACGGAGTGACCCTGCCTGTGGGCGCCGCCATCGCGCTCCGGCGGTTGAATGGGCGGCGCCATCTTGGTGACGGGAGCGACCATGTCCTGTCCTGCGCCCGGGACTTGGCTACCGGAGGGGCTGGACCAGAGAATGCCCCCCCGCCCCACTCCTGGCCCCAGCTCGGCGGACCGGCCGCCACAGGGCACCATGGCAGCGGGGCGCCCCGTTGCCATGGCAGCGCACACCCCACGCCCGTGGTGATGCGCCGAAGCTCGTCGCCATAGCACCGGCGGCCCGGCTCCCGTTGCCATGGCAACCTCAGCATCCCCCTGCCCCCCACCCTACCCCGCCCACCCCACCGGGGGCTTGGATGGCGCCCGTCAGCCAACCTGCACAAGCCCCCGGTGTGGGCCCGGCCGGGGGCCGCTGCAGGGACAGGCCCTGCCCTGGCCGTACTGGGAGACCCGACGCCCCCCGAGGACCCAGGAGTCCTGAGGCCCAGTGGCCTCTCCCAGGCCTGCGCCCAGCTCCCACCCCCGGCCGCGCTCCTGGGGCACCTTAACCCCCGTGGGGGCAGCTCTGGGGCCTGGGCGCCCAGCTCCCACCCCCCGGCCGCGCTCCTGGGGCACCTTAACCCCCGTGGGGGCAGCTCTGGGGCCTGGGGCGCCCAGCTCCCACCCCCCGGCCGCGCTCCTGGGGCACCTTAACCCCCGTGGGGGCAGCTCTGGGGCCTGGGGCGCCCAGCTCCCACCCCCCGGCCGTGCTCCTGGGGCACCTTAACCCCCGTGGGGCAGGCCTGGGCGCCCACTCCCACCCCCGGCCGCGCTCCTGGGGCACCTTAACCCCCGTGGGGCAGCTCTGGGGCCTGGGCGCCAGCTCCCACCCCCGGCCGCCTCCTGGGGCACCTTAACCCCCGTGGGGGCAGGCCTGGGGCGCCCAGCTCCCACCCCCGCCCTCCTGGGGCATCTTAACCCCGTGGGGGCAGCTCTGGGGCCTGGGGCGCCCAGTTCCCACCCCGGCCGTGCTCCTGGGGCACCTTAACCCCCGTGGGGACAGCTCTGGGTCTGGGGCCCCCAGCTCCCACCCCCGCCTCTCCTGGGGCACCTTAACCCCCGTGGGGGCAGGCCTGGGGCACCCAGCTCCCACCCCCGGCCGCGCTCCTGGGGCACCTTAACCCCGTGGGGGCAGCTCTGGGGCCTGGGGCGCCCAGCTCCCACCCCCCGGCCGTGCTCCTGGGGCACCTTAACCCCCGTGGGGGCAGCTCTGGGGCCTGGGGCGCCCAGCTCCCACCCCCCGGCCGCGCTCCTGGGGCACCTTAACCCCCGTGGGGGCAGCTCTGGGGCCTGGGGCGCCCAGTTCCCACCCCCGGCCGTGCTCCTGGGGCACCTTAACCCCCGTGGGGGCAGCTCTGGGTCTGGGGCGCCCAGCTCCCACCCCCCGGCCGCGCTCCTGGGGCACCTTAACCCCGTGGGGGCAGCTCTGGGGCCTGGGGCGCCCAGTTCCCACCCCCTGGCCGTGCTCTTGGGGCATCTTAACCCCCGTGGGGGCAGCTCTGGGGCCTGGGGCGCCCAGTTCCCACCCCCGGCCGTGCTCCTGGGGCACCTTAACCCCCGTGGGGGCAGCTCTGGGGCCTGGGGCGCCCAGCTCCCACCCCCCGGCCGTGCTCCTGGGGCACCTTAACCCCCGTGGGGGCAGGCCTGGGGCGCCCAGTTCCCACCCCCGGCCGTGCTCCTGGGGCACCTTAACCCCGTGGGGCAGCTCTGGGCCTGGGCGCCCAGTTCCCACCCCCGGCCGCGCTCCTGGGGCACCTTAACCCCCGTGGGGGCAGCTCTGGGGCCTGGGCGCCCAGCTCCCACCCCCCGGCCGCGCTCCTGGGGCACCTTAACCCCCGTGGGGGCAGGCCTGGGGCGCCCAGCTCCCACCCCCCGGCCGCGCTCCTGGGGCATCTTAACCCCCGTGGGGGCAGCTCTGGGGCCTGGGGCGCCCAGTTCCCACCCCCCGGCCGTGCTCCTGGGGCACCTTAACCCCCGTGGGGACAGCTCTGGGTCTGGGGCCCCCAGCTCCCACCCCCCGGCCGTGCTCCTGGGGCACCTTAACCCCCGTGGGGGCAGGCCTGGGGCACCCAGCTCCCACCCCCCGGCCGCGCTCCTGGGGCACCTTAACCCCCGTGGGGGCAGCTCTGGGGCCTGGGGCGCCCAGTTCCCACCCCCCGGCCGTGCTCCTGGGGCACCTTAACCCCCGTGGGGGCAGCTCTGGGGCCTGGGGCGCCCAGTTCCCACCCCCCGGCCGCGCTCCTGGGGCACCTTAACCCCCGTGGGGGCAGCTCTGGGGCCTGGGGCGCCCAGTTCCCACCCCCCGGCCGTGCTCCTGGGGCACCTTAACCCCCATGGGGGCAGCTCTGGGTCTGGGGCGCCCAGCTCCCACCCCCCCGGCCGCGCTCCTGGGGCACCTTAACCCCGGTGGGGGCAGCTCTGGGGCCTGGGGCGCCCAGTTCCCACCCCCCTGGCCGTGCTCTTGGGGCATCTTAACCCCCGTGGGGGCAGCTCTGGGGCCTGGGGCGCCCAGTTCCCACCCCCCGGCCGTGCTCCTGGGGCACCTTAACCCCCGTGGGGGCAGCTCTGGGGCCTGGGGCGCCCAGCTCCCACCCCCCGGCCGTGCTCCTGGGGCACCTTAACCCCCGTGGGGGCAGGCCTGGGGCGCCCAGTTCCCACCCCCCGGCCGTGCTCCTGGGGCACCTTAACCCCCGTGGGGGCAGCTCTGGGGCCTGGGGCGCCCAGTTCCCACCCCCCGGCCGTGCTCCTGGGGCACCTTAACCCCCGTGGGGGCAGCTCTGGGGCTGCGAGCCAGGAGGTTACGGTGATCTCGGGGGCCGGAGTAGAACTGCTTGAGGACCTGCCTGGCCCTACACTTCGATGATCCGACACCCCCCCCCCCAGCTCCCCTGATTAGGATGACGAGCCTCCTTGCCAGCCCAGAGTCTCCCCCCTCTTTCCTGCCCCCCATCTTACCTGCTGCTGAACACCCCAATGCTCAGTGTGAAACACAAGGGCCAGGGCGCAGCGCTAACTGCAACCCGGGCCGGCTCCAGCCCCTCTCCCAGCCGCTAATGGGCTCTGCAGTGACCAGAGCTCCATTAGAGCCGTTTAAGAGCTTTTTAATGTCTGGGTGGATGCTGAATAATTGAGGCGAAGCCCCAGCCCTGGCACAGCCAGTTAGTGTGCAGGGAGATTGCGGAGCAGCCACGATTCCTTCTGCACGGCGTCTCGGACACGCCGATGGAGCCGAGCTGCAGAGCACAGGCAGCCCCGAGAGTCTCTGTGCAGCACTTCTGCCGCCTCCTGGACATGGCTTCCAGCCTCCACCAAGGGTAAGAGGTGTGCCAGGGGGGCTGGGGAGCCGTGACCACCTCCATGAGTGACTCAAGTGATAAGGGACAGCCCATTGGAGCTGCATGGAACCAAGGGCTCTGTGCATCCCATAATACGCCCCCTTTTATGCTATACGCCTGGCCCCACCAAAACGCAGCCATCTCTGGGGAGGAGGGAGCATGCTGGAGAGACAGGAAGGGGCAGGCAGGATCCCCAGGAGTCCAGAGCAGGCAGGAGTGGAGCTGGCTTGACCCGTCCTCCCCTCCCCTCCGCTCTTTAGCTGAGTGAACTGAGCCCCAGGTTCAGAGGCAGCCTGGGTCACTGGGGACCAAGTGCCCCCGGGTGAGATGAGCCTGGCAGGTCTTGGAACAGGGGTCGGCGTCCGCATCACCCAAAGCACCAGCTGTGAACCGGAGCCCTGTGCTGGCAGCCCCAGCTGAGTGACATGGAGACCACCCCTCACTCTACCCTAGCCCGGGCCCCCAGGGCAGGGCAAAGGACAGCGTGTGGGGGGGGCCTTCCCTGGCAGATAGAGCTCTCCAGCCCCATTGCAGTCCCACCCCCTGTTGCCTGCAGGCGAGGCTCTCATGGTGGGGGAGCTGGTAGGGGTGAAGTGGACTGGCATGGCCACCCTGCAGGCTCCTCAGGCCATGGGACGAGCAGCATCAGGGTGAGCTCCCCCACCCGGGCCATAAAGGGTTAATAATGCCCGTGGGGTGGGGTGCGGGGCAGGTGCACTGAGAGCAACCTGGAGGCACCTGCCTGAGGGGCAGCGCTCTGGGCCAGCTAAGGGCCCAGCCCTGTGTGCAGGGCCCAGCGGTGCTGTGCGCAGGGACCCTGCTGTGTCCTTGATACCAACCCCTGGTGCCCCCTCCCCGGTCACCCCATTGCACCCCCAGGTCTGGGGGGCAGGGAACCCCCGCCCAGTCCTTACCCCCTCGTGCCCATCCCCCAGGCACTGCTCTCCACCATGGCAGTTTTTCACACCTACTCCGGCTGCCGGGGCTCGCTGAGGAAAGTGGATCTCAAAACGCTGATCAACCGGGAGCTGCTGCAGTTCGTGCAGGTGAGCACCAGCGGCAGGGGGTGGCACCGAGGGGCACCCAGCCTGTTGCAGGAATGGGTGGGGGGGGATTGGCTGGGAGCAGCTGATGGAGCTGGCTTCCCAGCGCCCAGGCTGGGACCCTGGGCTGAGACTGTCCCAGAGGCAGCCTAACAGCCCTGCTGGCCTTTCCGCTGGAGAAGTGTGCCCCATTCCCTGCCCCCCAAGTCAGCCAGGCCCCTGGGCCAGCACCCCCTAGAGGGGAAAGGCCTGGGGCCCATAAACTGCCTTTCCCTGAGCTGCAGGAGATCCGCGACCCCGAGACCTTGGAGCGTCTCTTCAGGGACCTGGACACCAACGGCGACCTCCAGATCGACTTCCAGGAATACGCCACGCTGGTCGCCATGCTGACCGCGGCCTGCCGCACATTCTTCATCCAGAAACAGGCCGAGTAGAGGGGTGAGGGGGGTCTGTGTCCCTGCACTCTATATGATTTTATGAAAATATGCTAGTGAGTGTGAATATAATGTAACTGGAATATGCTTCATGCAAAAGGTCTCTTGTAAGGTATCATCCCAAAACTTATCATCTACTGAGTGTGGTCATCCTATTTGTATACATGTATCCCTCTTTGTGACGCAGTGGGGGAGTTTCTTGTTTTTCCTTAAAGAAAAGGAAGACTTGTGGCACCTTAGAGACTAACCAATTTATTTGAGTATAAGCTTTCGTGAGCTACAGCTCACTTCTTCGGATGCATAAAGTGGAAAATGCAGTGCTAAGGGCCACCTTGATTATCATACACATTGTAAGGAGAGTGATCACTTTAGATAAGCTATTACCAGCAGGAGAGTAGGGTGGGGGGAGAGAAAACCTTTTGTAGTGATAAACACCCATTTTTTCATGGTCTGTGTGTATAAAAACATCCTCACTGCATTTTCCACTTTATGCATCCGATGAAGTGAGCTGTAGCTCACGAAAGCTTATGCTCAAATAAATTGGTTAGTCTCGAAGGTGCCACAAGTCCTCCTTTTCTTTTTGCGAATACAGACTAACATGGCTGTTACTCTGAAACTTGTTTTTCCATGTTTCCTATGCGGGATTTTCTTGGTTTTCCTATGGTTTGCATGCAGAGGGGGTGGGACTCAGTTTCCCTAGGTGCTATGGGTTTAACGAGGTGAGGGGAGAGGGAGTTTGTCACAGAGGATCTGCGAGGGAACTTGGGACCCCAGCGACTGGTGACCCGGAGGCCCAGCTCAGGAGTCCCTGCCGGGTCTGGCCAGTGGGAGGACAATGGGCTGTAAAGAGAGGAGAGGGGGCCCAGGCCACCCTGTTTACGACCCTGTTTACCTGGAGAGAAGACAGTGGACAGAGGTGAGCTTGGGGCCGGTGCTTTCAGATGCCCAGCTGGGAAGCAGGGGGGCTCTGGGCTGGAAGGAGGGAGCAGGCAGAGCCCCCCTGGGTGCAGGGGAGACTGGGATGTGCTGTGCTGTGCTGAGGGAGGCCAGGCCTGAGGCCCGGAGAGTTTCCTGGGCTGGGTTCAATGCTCAATAAACCTTCCTATTTTATGCTGGCTGAGAGTCGCTCTGGTCTAGAGAACAGGGTTGTATCATCCCCTTTGGGGGGGTGGAGGCCCGGTTGCATCATCCCCTTCGGGGGGAGGGGGGGGGAAGGAGGCCCCTGGGGTCCAGAGTGAGGTGACTCCCTGAGGGGGCCCACGGCGAGAAACAGGTGTGCTAAGGCTCCGAGAGGTGCGGCTCCAGGAGGTGGAGGGGCTTAACCCCGAGAGAGTGTGGCCCCCGGGGAGAAAGGGCTGTCTCACTGAAAGGGGCACCCCCCACGGACCGCACGGGGCTGAGTGGGCACAACCTGTGAGTCTGTGACACTCTTCAGAGTAGCAGCCGTGTTGTCCTCCTTTTCTTTTTACGGATACAGGCTTTGGGGCACCTTAGAGACTAACCAATTTATTTGAGCATAAGCTTTTTGCATCCGATGAAGTGAGCTGTAGCTCACGAAAGCTTGTGCTCAAATAAATTGGTTAGTCTCGAAGGTGCCACAAGTCCTCCTGTTCTTGTGACACTCTTGTATCTGAAACTAGAAATATGAAATATAACCCTGAGGGCCTATTGTAATTATGCAAACTGTGGGCCATTAATGGTGGTTTGGAATCTTGATGGCTCCCATCAACCAGGACAATTGACTGTACATGGCTGTTTACTTGTAAGTCTTCCTGTTTACCTGTGGGCTGGCAAGCGGGTACCGAGTCTTGCAGTGACGTGTGATCATGTCACCTGACCTGGAATCCATCTTTAACCTGGTGCTTTTCCACTGAGGAGGAGAGGTGGGAACCCAGAGAGGGACAAAGGATTCCCGCCTTGTGCCAAAGTTATATAAGGGGCTGGAACAGAACAAAGGGGGCTGCCGTCCTGAGAAATCCCCTAGCTACAACCTGAGCTGGAACAAGGGGAAAGGATTGGGCCCAGACGAGGAAGGCATCCAGTCTGTGAAAAACTTATTGAAACGTCTCTGAGGGTGAGATTTTATCTGTATTCAGTTTTCTTACTGTATTAGGCTTAGACTTGTGTGTTTTATTTTATTTTGCTTGGTAATTCACTTTGTTCTGTCTGTTACTTGGAACCACTTAAATCCTATGTTTTGTATTTAATAAAATCATTTTACTTATTAATTAACCCAGAGTATGTATTAATACCTGGGGGAGCAAACAGCTGTGCATCTCTCTCTACAGTGTTATAGAGGGTGACCAATTTAGGAGTTTACCCTCTGTAAGCTTTATACAGGGTAAAACGGATTTATTTGGGGTTTGGACCCCATTGGGAGCTGGGCGTCCGAGTGCTGGAGACAGGAACGCTTCTTAAGCTGCTTTCAGTTAAGCCTGCAGCTTCTGGGGGACGTGGTTCAGACCTGGGTCTGGGTTTGTAGCAGGCTAAGGTGTCTGGCACAACCGGCAGGGTTCTGATCAGTTGGCAGTCCCAAGGGGGTCTCTGTGATCCAGCCCATCACAGCGTCAGCCCTGGGGCCTAGAGAAACCAACCCTCCCTGCCCCGACTCACACTGTGCTTTGTAGACCCCAATTAACTAGGGCCCCCCCTCCCCAGGAGGTTGGTGAGCCCAGACAGAGACATTCCACTGCCAGAGAAACTGAGGCACAGAGAGGGGCTGCAATGCACCCAGGTCACATAGCAAGCCAGTGGCAGCACCTACAACAGAACACAAAGGTCCTGGCTCTCAGCTCCCAGCCCTCCTGCTCTAACCCACCAGACCCCACTCCCCTCCAGAGCCAGGGAGAGAACCCAGACATCCTGGCTCCCCGTCCCCGCAACTCTACCATGTGAAATCTCCTCTTTTCTGGGCCCAGGGCAGTGTGGTGGAATAAGTGAGTTCTGGGGAATTCCCGGGCTGGGGAATCCTTTGCTAGACTCTCTCGCTCTGTGTGTGTACGTACACATACACGCGCGCCGGGGGCTGGACACAGAAAAATCCTTCCTGGGTTTCTGGTTAGTGTCTCGGGTCTGTTAGGCCCTGTTGGGGCAGGCCCGGGCAATAAGCGATTGTTCTCCTGACAGTGTCCCTTTAATAACAATAAAGCCTTTTTCAAACATCAGAGACCCCCAGCCAGAGGGACCAGCAGCCCCACAGCTGGACCATGGAGTCAGGCACGAAGGGAAGCCTGGGGTAGGGGGGTAGGGTCTGCGTGGAGAAAAGCGGGGTCACTGCAGAAAGGGGTGGAGTCATTCCCCTGTACTTTGCTTTACCACCTGAACCAGTCTGGGGCCCCGCGGGGCTGGGATCCCCCTGGAGCAGCTCCAGCCCCATCCAGCAGGGGGCAGCGCTGCACCCATCCTTACACACCCTTGTCCTATGGGCAGAGTGGAGACGAGGTCCCACGTCTCAACTCCGGAGTCCGGCAGCCGCCTCTCCTGCTGAAAGAGCAGCCCCCGGCTAACGAGGCAGAGTCACCCCCATCTGTGTGTGCTCCCCAGAGACCCCGCCCTGCCCCCCACAGAACCCCACCCCCCGTCAGGCCCCCCGAGTCCTGGGGAGCCGCCCCGAGGTTTGAAGTGGCGCCAGCCAGCAGGTTCCCGCGTGGGTCGCTGCCCCAGGCAGGACGGGGGTGCCTAGCCCGAGACGGGTACAAGGCCGTCGCTGCCCTCGCTCCAGTTTGTCACCCAGTCCTTCCTCTGGATGGTGCCCGTCTTCTCCTCGCGGAACAGCTGGCGTTCCTCCCGGGGGATCTTGATGGCGTGGAACTGCGGCACCGCGGCCTGCTGGTACCGGGTGCGCCTGAAGAAGCCCACCTGGAAAGAAGCCAGAGAAATGGAGTCAGCGCCCGGCCCCCCTGGCAGAGGCCCAGAGGCTCCCGCCCCACGGGGGGGGGGTGCCTGGGGCAGGGCTGGGCCGCGGCAGGCGGAGGCTGCATTGGGCTGGAGCAGGGGTGCCCCCACGTGGCTGCCGCGTGCATCAGAGGGGGCGATGGGAGGCCAAGGCAAGAGACAGCGTCACCTCCCCTGCAGGTCTGTGTCAGGCTCATCCCCACGCGGCAGGGACGGGCCCAGCTCCTTCAACGCCCCTGGCAACTCCCAGCCCGACGGCCCCGGGCCGGGGCACCCAGCACACGGGCATGCAGCCTGCCACACCCAGGCGCTGGCAGACACACACACACCCCATCGGCACCCGCCCCGGCACACCCAGGCTCTGGCCTGGCAGGACCCCCAACAGGCCTGGCACACCCGCACACTCATGCATTGTTGCTTCAGATGCTCTTGCACACCCGAGCACACCCCTCGCCCCCCGTGAACGGAGGGGAGCGGGGGGGGACTGTTACCGCTAGGCCTCCCCGGCTTGTTTCTCCACCTCGGAGGGCTGCACTGCCAGCTGGGCCCGGTAATAGTTGGCAGCGTACGGGGCGGCTCGGCTGCTCCGCTGGAAGAAGCCGCACTGGGGAGGAAGCAAGGCCGAGGCGAGAGCATCAGGCCCGGGCCAGAGCGCCGGACCCAGGGGACGCCGGGGCAGGAATTTCCCTGGGTGGAGCGAGGGGGCAGGGGAGCTGGAGGAGGCTGGGGAATCTTGGGCCCTAGGGAAGGGGAGTCCCAGGGGGTGCACGGGGAGGGGGTGTTGCTGGAGGTGGGAAGGGGCAGGGGCCCAATCCCTGGGGGCATATCTGCCCTGGAGCAGAGACCCCCAGGCAGGGGCCAGGGTAGCCGGGTCCCCCCTCCCTCCTGCTCTCACCTTCCACAGGATGGAGACCAGCAGCCCCAGCACCAGGACCCCAGCCAGCACCGCGATCAGGATGATCCACCAGGGGACACCCCGGGCCACCACCACGCTCGGGTCCAGGTAGATGGTGACGGGGATCTGCAGGGCAAGGGATCAGCAGGATCAGGACCGGGAGGCGGGGCAGGGGGCAGGGCTGGGGGGGAGCGGCCAATTAGGTACCTGCGTGGCGGCGTCCTTCAGCACCAGGCTCTGGACGGTGGATTTGACGGTGATGTTGGCGTGGACGAGCAGTTCCACGGAGGTCACGGCCGGGTACTCCTGGGGGCAGGGACATGGCTCAGCCTGGCGCCCACACCCGGCCCCCCCGCCCCCCCGAACTGTTCCAGGCGGATGCAGGATTCTGCACCATTTCCTCTCGTAACGTGCGGTGCAGCAGCGACTCGGCCCCTGCGTCCCACCCCAGAGCTGGCTGCAGGGCAGGCCAGAGCCTTGCCGGCCGCCGGCTCACCTCCAGGAAGGTGCTATTCCACAGGCGCCCCCAGGCAGTGAGCACGGCCGAGCGGTTGAAGCTGAAGAGCGGGCACCGGAAGACGAGGCAGCGGCGGTGCCCCGGGCGCAGTCCTGGAGCGGGGAGACAGCGGGTCAGCGGGCTCCGGGCAGTGAGGGGCGGGGGGAGCCTGACCCAGGTGGACAGCGGGCGGTGGGGGGTGTGACCGTCCGTGGCTGCTGTGCGGTGCA